AGTAAATGTACAGCAAAAATGACAAGTCACAAGTCACCAATTCCAATACCACTCGAATAAAAGTCTTAGATGATCTGATTTTAACAGTACTAAAGTATTTTACTCGTACTGAAATAAGTCTCAAAGATGCACTAGTCCTCAACACCTAACAGACATACCAGTGAAAAACAAAAACCGGTTGATTTGTGAGGAGAGCAACCAATCACGTGTTTTCTAAAGTCGAAGTAAAACTGAACACCTCAATATCGCAGTAAATCAAGGTCGACACAACAGCCTCTTAGACGTCTACAAACACTCAAGCCTCAGTTACGCTCAAGTGCTCTAAAAGGGTTTAAGTAAACCAATATCCATCAAAAAGGTCTCTTGAATACACTGGATAAGTAAAATAATGTTAAAGGGGTGGTTCAGGATTTTGGACATCGGGCCTCATTTCCAAGTTAGCCTTAGTGTTATTTATTAGTGGACAAAGTTTTCAAAAATTTTCATCCAGTCGTACCAGTTGCATAGTTCGCCGGTGCTAGGCTAGCGCGAGTCAACGGTAACTGCTAGCCTGCCATTAAAAACAGTTTTACTCACTCCACAGTACACCAAAAGCAAATCAATTATAACGCCAGACTATCGATGTAAATGTCTGTTAAGAGAAAAATGTTAAAAATCAAACTACTCTTGCATCTCAATGATCGCAATACATTTACAGGAACTAGTTTCTCAGCAGAGGGGGAATTTTACTTTGCTCCGGTTAGTACTGCTCCGAAAAGTAAACGCAGAACCGAAGCGCACTACAATCGGGACTACCTGTACTACCTCTCTCTCTCTCTACCTCTCTCGGTTGCCTAGGTAACTACATATCACTCCGCCGCTGCTGTAGACTGTGCTAATAAATACAGGGAACAAAGTATAACTATTGCAATGCAATGAAAGGGTAGTTTGATTTCTAACATTATTCTCTTAACAGACATTTACATCGATAGTCTGGCGTTATAATTTATTTGCTTTTGGTGTACTGTGGAGTGGGTAAAACTGTTTTTAATGGCAGGCTAGCAGTTACCGTTGACTCGCGCTAGCCTAGCACCGGCGAACTATGCAACTGGAACGACTGGATGAAAATTTTTTAAAACTGTCTCCACTGATAAATAACCCTAAGGCTAACTTGGAAATGAGGCCCGATGCCCAAAATCCTGAACCACCCCTTTAAGTAAAATGAAATAGTTAAAGCCTCCTTGCACTGGACTGGTTTCAACTGCAGCCATGTCCTCTTCTCATAAAATGAAACGCTTGCAATTCAACAACTAACCTGCAAATGCACTCACATTTGCATAAAGTAGCATTGTTGACCAGTTTGGGTGTGTAAGGGCAAAAACGCCAAAAATGTAGTACCTTTAATGCCCTGTAGATGGCGATATCACTTTTGTAGCAGAAATAAACAGCTGCAGAAAAAGTTAGTTGCCATGCAAAATGTAACAAGTAATTACATAACTCATCACAAATGTAATGGGTTAAAGAGTACATACTTATTCAAAAATGTAGTCAAGTAGAGAGTAAGAGTTGCTAATATCTTTGATAGTGAAACTACTAAGTAGCCAAAAAGATATTTAGGTACAGAAACTAATTACATTTACTCAATACTTTACTTCCACTGTACATGCTTTTTTTTTTGTTGCTTTCGTCATAATCAACAGCATAGTTGTCAGTAGAGCGAAGTCTTTAATTAAACTGAAGTTCATCAGGTCATCTTGTACACACATGTAGCTTAAACAGCAGGATAAAACATGCAAAAGCTTTTGCTATCAGTGACACACTTGCAGACAGGAGATACATTTACCTCAGGATAACCACAAGCTAAGCTTCACAGATCATTTTCTTTGGCCTAGTGACTTTTACACCAATGATAACGTTACCAGTTGCCACCAGTGAAATAAATTGTGGGAACAGCAATGGGTGTAGTTACTGAAATATGCTGGAATTGGAACTCCACACCCATTATTTTCCACACAACGTCCTGTTCACCACCAGTCTGACTCAACTTTGCCTCAAACTTGACTCAATGCTGACTCAAGCTGCCCTAAATGCTGTAAACCACCTGATCTGGTCTAATTTGTATACTTTCCCTTCACAATACCCATGTTGGATGGGTAAACAAGATCAAAACAGGGTTTCTCTAACATCAGATGAAGAACAGGGTGCATCTGGAAATCTTTTTGAAGACAAAGGCCTGGTTTCACAGACAAGGCTTAGATTAAACCAGAATTAAGCCTTAGTTAATTAGGACATTTAAGTAGCTTTTTATAAATGTGCCTTAGAAAAAAAAATGATGTGCTGATGTGCAAATGATACAATGATAAAAAATGACAAAATTAATATTTTAAGATATGTCAGTGCAAATTGCTTTCAGTTAAACAACTCAAACATGCATTTTAATCTAGGGCTAGACTTAAGCCTTGTCTGTGAAAGCAGGGGTAAGTGTTTGATGCTCTCACCGTCTCATCCTCGAGCCGCAGATGTAGGACGGTGTCTCCGGGCCTGTAGTCTCTGGTCAGCTCTGCTGATCTCCACACCTCTGTGGTGTCTGGGATCCAGACTCGAGCAAACTGCAGGAGGTGAACACCAAGTTAGTTTGAATAACAGTATTTATTTAATGCAATTCAAAGCAGATGCATCTTTTCAACTTCAATCAAGCATATCATTGTTTTATCAATGCATTTATATTTAAAACAAGAAATGCAATTTTAAATGTTGTAAAATGGACTGATTTAGCTACAATTAGAGTGGCAACTCAGATTAATATATTATTTTTATTTACTATTATTATTATTTGCTTTTCTTTCAACTGTAATTAACCATCAGATTGTTTTATGAGTGCATTAATATTTCAAACAATGAAATATAATTGATATGTTCCGTTGTTCTTAGTTTGTTTTGGATACAATCTAAATAATGTTTTACAATAAAATAAAAACTTAAATTCCAGTAAGCCCCTTTTAAGTTCCCACAAACCAGGAAAAGTCCTGTATGATAAACTGTCTAAATGATAAAACTTCTCACATGTTTCCATTACTCATATGTGAAATTAGCCGGGTTTAAACCATTTTTTACAGTCTATGGTTTAAACTCATACCTTCGAGTAAAGCTCCGGCGCTGCCATTGAGCTCCGCCTAAACTCCCGTTACTCCAGAAACATCACAACTCTCTGCGTCTGCTACAATTTAGAAAACAGACATTGAGAAACGCCAAAGTTTCTGCAATCTCTTGGCTGGTGGTGTGGAAGAAGTGTGACAGCCGCCGGGGAAATACATTGAGTGGCACATTTTAATAACTAACAGCTGTGCTCATGGGTCATGATGAGTTGTTCCACCAGGGGGCGCTTGGCGGCTCAAAACGCTGATTCCTCCATTGAGCTGCATTCAAATCTCAGGGGGTTTGTCTCGTTGGAAATGTGTGTACACAAAATAGTGTAATCTTTTTATCATATTAATTATGAATATACAAATATCTGGCATATAAATGGAAACTTTTATTAAATAAATAATAATAACAAATCACCTTATAATCACAATCAACCTGATTGGTCCATCCTGACACCGCTGAGAAAAGTAACAGATACCACTTGACAACGCCATGAGTTATTTATCAGAATAAAGACGCTGAAAAACTTCAATAACCAATTAAATATAAATAGATTGTAAAAAATTACAACCTTATTCAATATTGTTTATTATTAAGCAAAATATCATTTAATCTTAGCGCATGTCACCAATTAGAACGAACTTCCGGTAAGCCAAACCACGCCCATTTCATATTTAACGTGTTCTTCCCGCTTGTTCTATTTCTGTGTGACAATCATCCTTGCCCGTTTCTTTTAAGCATGCCAGGTATAGGAACGAGCCAGTCTTCTTCCTTTGATATTTGTTTTTTTCCAATACTTTTGTGCAATATACTTCATTGTTCTGTTTTATTTTACACGTTGTGACCAAAGTTGTGTGAACCGTAAAAAAAAAGAAAAAAAAAGTCGCCGTGGCAATGACCGACGCGAAAACAGTGCCGCCTTGTGGCGATTATGAGTTACTGCACCCCGCTCAGGAATATTAAAGCAATGCATACTCCAAACGAGAGGTGGTTATTTGTATATCCATGTCTTCTCTGATGCTACCAGAAACTCTTTGTTCATCATCTTGTCTTTGACAATATAATCGCTCGAACAAAAAAAATATATAAAAAAGTGGCGCAAGAACAGTTAGATTAAGAGTTACTGGCTGCACTCATTCCTACCAACCACACATAATTCAAATGTAAGCTGGTTCTTTGTATTTCCTGAAAATTCTGTCAGAAACCAGATCAAGCTTAATAAAGCATTTTCTAACAATAAATTAACTTAAAATATGGAAAAAATTAAAAAGTAAAGGCCAAAGAGCATTAGTTTTAATAATAACTTTACATTTATTCATCAGGGTTTGACTACACCTAGTTAAACAAGCCACTTTACCAAGAGTGAACTTCTTTAAAAGTTATTTCTAAATGACAGCACTATGCCTGTGGCTTGTTTAAATTTGTCTAAGCATTTAAATTTATTTTAATCTAACAGCAATTCTACTACCTTTAAAAGACAAGAAATACTGGAGAGTTCAAAAACAACTACTTGGTCACAAATCACATGTCCAAAACTATTTTATTTACAAAACAAATGGCACAGTTGTGACAGTAAACTTTTGTACAGCTCAGATAAATCATTTCAGTTGTTCTGGCAACACAACCTAGACGAGACAGTTAAGAGGTCAACACACTTCAATGTGGGTGAATGACCGTTTTAAAGCCATTTTCATCATCAACAAACCGCAAATCTCAACGAACGAACTTTAAGAGTGTTTAGATTTTTTTCAGCTCAACCATAACATCTACGAGGCCTTTTCTTTCTTCAAACAGGCACAGTTTTGGCAGAAGAGGTGGATGTGATTATTTCAAGTCAAGTCCATATCTGTTCACACATGTCTTTTTTCAAGATATACACAAAAATAGTGGTTGAAAAGATGGAAAAAGTGTAAAACCCTAAAATAATGCCGATCCGACTCAATCGGTCAGATTACCATGTTTAAACCTTGGCATTGAAGCGATACATTTAACTGCACGGTTAAATCCAAGCACATTGGCAGCAGCAATCTACAGATTTCCTTGTCAAAATATTATATTGAGAGCATTTCTACAGCCAAAGACGAAAAGAGCAAAAGAAAGACAAAACAATGGCGGCTGAGGGAACATAACAGAGATGGAAAGAGCAGGCATCAGACGGCGAGCTTGCTGGCCACCAGAGACTGTTTCCGCTGGGGAAGGTCCTGAGGAGTGAGAATGTGGTCTCCGGTGACCTCGGTCTTCTCCGCCGCTGCATTCGGGAGCTGTTTGTTCTTCATCTTGGCTTTGGCCATGTTATAGTCACCCGAGTCAAAGTATTTTTGCTGCAAGGGAAAAAACAAGTCCGTTATTTGCAATCAATAGGTTGAATTCGGACACTTTTTAAGTTCATCCAAAAATTCTCTTATTTACTCTCCCTCGTGTCATTGCAAACACGTAAGACTTTCGTTCATCTTCGGAACACAGATGAAGATCTTTTTGATGAAATCTGAGAGCTTTCTGTCCCTCCATTGACAACTACACAACTGACACTTTGATGCTTCAAAAAGTTCATAAAGAGATCGTAAAACTAATCAATATGAATTGAGAGGTTTCTGAAGATGATGTATAAATCGATCAACTCACTTCAGAAATTTTGGACTAAACCACTCAATTACTGTGGATCATTTTTACGATCTCTTTATTAACTTTTTGAAGCATCAAAGTGGTTTTGTGTAGCTGTCAATGGAGGGATAGAAAGCTTTGATTTCATCAAAAAGATCTTTATTTGTGTTCCGAAGATGAACAAAAGTCTTATGGGTTTGTAACGAGACGAAAGTAGGTCATTGATGAAAGAATTCCCATTTTCGGGTGAACTATCCCTTAAAATCTCTTTCGAAACCGTACCCCCTTTTGTAGTCTTTTTCGCAACATATCCGACCCGCCAGGCCTAGTCCCGAGATGAGGGTATCGGGCCTTCAGTTTGACCTCCTCAGCTTTTTCTGGACTTACAACAGTGTCCTGCATCTCCTATATTAGATGTAAGAACAAAAACACTTCAAATTAAATTTCATAAACCACAGGAAACATATTACTGATTAAAGCTGCATTGAACAGCAGCGTAAACAGAAAAACAGCAATGGTTAGTCAATTTGACAACTTATTTGCCTACCTAAAAAGTTAAGTTTACTGCTTATATATATATATATATATAAATTGACAATTATTCTAAATATTAAAACGGTTCTACAAACACATAATACACGGCTTAAAAGACTAGTAAAAACATGTTGTTTTATATGGTCCAGTAGCTCTCACTTTAATACACCCGCTAGATTTACTTATATATTATTATTTCAACAATGAGGCTTTCATTACTGAATCATCGCGATCACATTGTCAGATGCGTTACGGCCTCTACAAAACATGTTTGAATGAGCGAACCTGCTGCTCCTCTGTGCTCGCCTCCACTTCACCGGACATCTGGACAAATTAAATGCAAAAACAAAACAAAAAAAACAAGAAAAGAAAACAAAACACAAAAAACCGGAACACTTGGCTTTGCTTCGCCCTCGGAGAGCCGTCAAGAGGTATTGTTAACTGGCCGTCTGCTGCTGTTGCTGCTGTCTTGAAAATCCTAAATGTTCTTCTTCGGGAGAACCAGAGAGCGAGTCACTCAGTCACTGTGAGCTGCGGCGCCGCCTCGCGGACTGGAGGAGAAAAGCGCCATTTGTGTTTATCATTTCTTGAAATATTACTCACAATATAAATGTTATTCGTACGTTTACTTTAAAAGCAATTAAATATTTCACAGCACAAATACACATGTACCGCAACCTGAAGGTGGAAAGTTTTATAATTATGCTAAAAGGCCTTTTACTTGATAGAAACGTATGAACTATCAATCACATTGCAGAAGGTATGTAGTCAGAGGTGGACAATAACAAAGTACATTTACTTGAGTACTGTCCTTAATAAGTACACATTTTGAGTGTCTGTACTTTACTTGAGTATTCTTTTTTTCTGGAAACTTCTTTCTTTAACTTCACTACATTTCTGTCAAGGTCCTTGAGTAGACAGTAGTAACGTCAGTCAGGGAAGGATTTTGGTTGCATTCTGGTTGGAAATGAAAGTCGGGTTGATGTCAGAACCCGACTGATGTTGGTTTCTGACGTCTACCCGATTTTCATTTTCAACGTTGAGTTTGGTCTTATAAATGCGAATTTGTCATTGTTTTGGAGCACACTAGCTTATAGATAACAGTAAGCCTAACATATAACACAATCACCAGGGGTATTTTGGAGGAGCAAATCATAAAAGGGTTTCCTCCACCAGAATCTCAGTGATCTGGCCGCTGTTCTGGAAAAGGAATGAATCAAAATGCCTCTGACCTCTGTTAAGGTCTTGTATCTGTCTTTCCCAAGACAAATTGATGCTGTATTGGCCACAAAAAGAGGCCCTACACCATCCTAATAATTTATTGTGGTCTAAAACCAGGTGTTTCAGTTTTATTGTCTAACCCCTGAAGATTCTTCAAATATTTGCAGATTTCAACAAATTAATGTTATGTCATAACTGATTTTGAAGGTCATATACCCAGTAGTTTTAAACGGACATATTAACCTGGATAAAAAAGCACAGGAAAAAACACACAATTGGCTTTAAAACTCATTTTAATTTTCATAAATTTAGAAAACAACAGTTACTGTTAGTTAAATTTTCTAACATATTCTACAATGATAAAAATATAAATCATGGAATTTGAAAAAAATATGTTTTTAATTAATTCGAAATGAAACAACAAATATTGGTCCGTGGCATGTTTCTTTCGATCATGAATAAAAATATACACTGAATAGACCACTTTTGAGAGTGTAAACAAAGGGTTTGCTTAGAGTTAAATGTGCTAAATCACCCTCAAACTGCAGTCATTCTTTTTAATATTAATGGAAAGACATCCGCTGTACAGTTCACTGAAATCTCCTCATAATAGGATCAAACAGAGAATCCAAAAAAATTCTCATAGAACTGAGAAACCTGTCCTAAAACATTAGTAAATGACCCATTAGTTCTGGATCCGTGTCACAAGATAGTACAGCAGGAAGAAGACCACAACCAGGCCGATGGACACGTAACACAGGATCTTTCTGTTGTCTCGGCCGGATCGTACCATTGTGGAAAACCTCTTCACGCTTCCTGTCAACAGGCCAGTTGCACTGAGAAAATTTGAGTCCTGAGTTAACAAGGATGTAAAACATGATGAGTCACCCATGTGCCAACATTGCAAATACAACATCAACACTGATAACACACACACACCATGCCATCTAAGTAGGAATTCTGTTCCTCAGCCTCTTTGTCAATGTCATATGCCAGCTGTGGATGAGACCAAAGACATTTAAATGCAACAGCATGACAGCTTATTTTAAAATCATATACAGTGTTTATATAAAATGTATATAATAGCTAACTTACAGACTTGAGTCTAGAGACTTTGCTGGCCAGATTATCTGCCATCAGCTTGTTTTCAGCGTCCAGCATGTCATCCACAGCACCATGTCCTGTCAGTTCAACAAAATTAACTGTTATTAAGTCATTTTGACATAAGTTACACTAATATGACTGTATATCTGACCACTTTCAGATTAAAGTTTACCTGTACTGGCAACAGCAACAATAAATGTTGGTTTTAGACCAGAGAAGCATCATTAAATTAAAATATTATGTGTATATACTAATAAAATAGTCGAAATGAAAATATAACTGTATATTCAAAGAAAACTGCTGCTACGTGTCACTTACCTCGATTCCACGGATCAGCCATTTTTAAAGAGCTAATAAGCTAACAACAACCCCCCAAAAACACTCTAAAACACGCCGCACACCAACAAAAACTGTTCGTTTTAACTGTAAACGACGTCTAAAACACATACCAAGAAATATGAGTTCAGTAATATTGTTGACAACTGTAAAACAACGCACAGTTATCACACAGCGAACCGCTGAGCAGCGCAGCGTTCACTGTAGCGAAGCGGCCGCAGAGGATTGTGGGATATGTTAGTCCGCCAGTCATTCATTTTTCTATCATAAGGACTCTTGTCTGATTGCATAAGCTTCCTAGCCAGCCATCTGCTTGCGTTCGCTCTTTAAACATTTTGTTCGGGTAATTTTTTTTTTTTTTTAACGACATCGATATGAAATAAACAGCGCGTTTCACTGTTGTGCTGGTAAGCATCTATATGTTATAATAACCTTGATTATGCGATCAAAACGACGAATCGCAAAATGCAAAACAAGGATTGCATAATTAAATCTGATAATATTTGCATGTCTAATATTCAGCATGTCTAACTGCTCGTGTGCGTTTTGTAACGAAGATGCATTAAATTTAATAGCCTATATAATAACGTTACATATCCACTGAAGACGATGTATTTCCAGATACACAACATAAAGCGGGAAAAAATTGAGATTTTTTAAATATAATTAACTGATGGTTTTAACAGAAGTGATCTTTGTGATATTTCAGTGCTTGTGTTGAATGATCACAAACACCACTGTCCTTTGAATCCTCTTAATGTACGATCAATATTTTTATACAGAATACAACGCACTATATAGCTTTAATATGCATTTAAATTAGGGAAATATGCGAAGTTTAGTTGCAATTATTCCAAGCACAAACCTTTTTAAAATTCAAGTAAGGTTTCTGTTAAACTCACTTAAATACTATAAGTAAATATATATTATTAAATAACTTCTTAAAATATATATTTGAATAAAATATAATATAATTTGTAGTGAAGTTACATTATATATGTGATTTTTGTATTGAATTATCAAAATTAATGTATAATAGAACCATTTTCACTAGTATAATCTCTTTCGTGTAATCTTTACACACAAACACACACACAGACAATACATAAATAAACAAATATATATTATAATAATATTAATTAAAAAATTATTGTCATAGCTTATTAAGTATTTGTATTTATTTGATTTTAATTGACATTTGTACTATTACATAACTCTCCTTGTTTCATTTATGCATGACTGACAAATTATACCTCATGTTAAATTTATTAGCCTAGTTCATTGTACCTAAAATTCAAATGGATGAAAATGTTTATGCAATTAAATGGCATTCACCTTAAATATAGGCCTAAATGTTTTTTTTTGAGTGTATGTGAAACCTTTTTTAAATGTATTATTTAAAAAATGTGTCAAATAGTCAAACTCTTATTGCCAATGTATATTTAAAATGTAATTTTAATTTATATATCCGTTTCATTGTTCTTTTTGTAGTGTGGAGCACCAGTCAGCCACAGATTATCATAATGTTGGCCCGCAAAGGCCTTATGCCCGATGGGTTCCTGTTGACACGACTCGCTGAAGACGCCGCACAACCCAGTCGCATCCGGCCAAAGTCACAGAGAGCGCGTTTCATCACCAAGAGCGGGTCGTGTAATGTTGCCCACAAGAATATACGAGAACAGGTGCAGATCAACTCCAAGCAAGTCTTCAAATATTGTTGTATAACATGTTATTAGACAACCGATGAAATTATGACTTTATTGCTTCTCAGGGCCGGTTTCTCCAAGATGTGTTCACCACAATGGTGGACCTGAAATGGCAGCATTCCCTCCTCATCTTCACTTCAGCATTCCTCTGCTCTTGGATGCTCTTTGCCATGGTTTGGTGGCTCTTGGCGTTCGCTCACGGTGATCTGGAGCCTCGAGATCCCAACGACCCCGGGCCTGTGCCGTGTGTCACTTCCATTCACTCCTTCACATCTGCTTTTCTCTTCTCCATTGAGGTTCAGGTAACTGACCCATCAATGACCTAATCTAGAACAGTATTTTAGTGCACCTAAATTGAGGTTAAAAGGGTTTTAAGATAACGAAAACTATTATGTGTCTGTAATATCAGGTCACTATTGGTTTTGGAGGACGAATGGTGACAGAGGAATGTCCGCTGGCCATCATAGTCCTCATCATCCAGAACATTCTAGGCCTGATCATCAACGCCATCATGCTGGGCTGTGTGTTCATGAAGACGGCTCAAGCCAACCGGCGAGCAGAGACCCTCATCTTCTCGCGAAACGCTGTCATTGCCCCGCGGAACGGCAGACCGACCCTTATGTTCCGCGTCGGGGATCTGAGGAAGAGCATGATCATCTCGGCCACCATTCAGCTGCAGGTGACAAACATCTCCTACTCTTTTAAAAATAAAGGTTCTTTATTGGTTTCCATGAAAAACCTTTAACATATGAAACATTTCCATTGGACAGAAGGTTCTTTATAGTGGAAATGGTACTTTAGTTTATTAAAATGTTCTTTTAAGAGCACTGAAAAGTTCTTTGGGGAACCCACAATGGTTCTTCTATGGCATTATTTCTGTCCAGCACTTCTTCCTAATCTCGAGTTTCGTCCCTCAGGTGATTCGGCGGACAGTGACAGCGGAAGGTGAGGTGATTCCTGTTTGTCAGCTCGATATCCAGGTGGAAAACCCTCTCAGGAGCAACGGCATATTCCTCGTCTCTCCGCTTATAATCAGTCACACTATTGACAGAGGAAGTCCACTGTACGAGGTCTCGGCACAGTCGCTGGCTACCGAAGACCTGGAGATCATTGTCATTTTGGAAGGTGAATGAAGTGCATTTCTCTTTATTGTAATCTTTTCGTTTCACAACCTATTGAGGTAGCCATTTTGATGAATCATAGAAGAACCCCTATTCCAAACTCATTGCATGTTGCCTTGTATGCCTTGCATTGAGTTTGATGAAAAATAAACACAAGCTGGCTGAAGCAAGGACGAAGCATATTTTTTCATTCAATACTAGAAAGTGTTGATACAAATATTTGAATATAATTACATTTGGACAGTTTCACCCCATATTTAACCTATTATTTAGAAAATAGCACAAAAAAAATACATTAAATATTGCCACAAATACATTTTAGTAGTAGTTTTTTATATGGTATTATAAAACTTGAAACCTTTACAACCCACCAGCAAGTATAGATATCAAAACACTAGACTGTGCTGAGAAATTTTCAAATGATAGTTAGCCCATTAACTTTGGCAGCCCTAAAATGCTAAAGCTAAAATAAAAACGAAATAAACTGAAACTAGAAAATGCAGAAAAAACAAAAAGGAGCGATAAAAGTAAGAAAACTAACACTAATCTGAAACTACACTAAATTGAAAAGACAAAAAAATATTTTAATATAATAAAAAATGGGGAGTTTAACCCATATTTATTATGTGTTTTTAAAGCTTTTTAGCATATTGCACCATTAGCTTAGCAACATGCTAATGTCAAATCAATTTCAAGGCAGTTATTGTCGTTAATGAAATGAAAACTGAATGAAAACATTTTCGTAATCAACAATGCTATGCTAATGCTAAAACTAAAATAAAAAACTAAATAAACTGAAACTAGAAAACTCTGAAAAAAGAGTGAAAACTAACACTAAATTTAAAAGACAAACTATCTTTTAAGGTTGCTGCCTATATAGCTCACTAGTTTTTGAAACCGAGCCAATGTGTCTGTTCTTCCAGGTGTTGTGGAGACCACCGGCATCACAATGCAGGCCCGCACGTCCTACACACCGGAGGAGATCTTGTGGGGTCGGCGTTTCGTCTCCATTATGACGGAGGAGGATGGCCGCTACTCGGTCGACTACTCCAAATTTGGGAACACTGTTCCCGTCCGGATGCCGGCCCTCAGTGCTAAGGAGCTGGACCAGACCAGGGGTGTTCAGGACAGCGGACCCCATGAGGGTAAACCTCAGGGCTGGGGGCTGGTGAGGGCGGGACGGGGCGGGTACAGGAGGGGGGGCGGCAGGGCCTGCGATGATGCGGCAGCCAAGCCGTGGTACGTAACGGCGGAGAAAGAGGACGAGAAGAAGGGTCAAAAGAAAACGGTGAAACTTGAGGAGATAGGCAGAGAGATTGAAGAAGAGACAATAGAGGACATGAGCGATTAGAGAACAACAACAACTTTTTTTTTTTTTTTTTTAGATATGGAAGTAGAAGTGTTCTAGCAGTTACTGGTGACACTAGTTCAGTTAATAGTCAAACATATTATAAATAACAAATAGGTCTGAAATAGGTTTTATACTACACATGTTTTGTAAACTGTCAAAACATGGACAACTGAGAATGTCTTGTAGATTTTGTCCTGTACTGCCAGCAATATAATGAATTTTAGGATTGTTTTGACTGAAAAATGTAATAGCCAAGGCATGGAGCCTGGTTAGGGTAGACACCATACATAGTTTGATGAGAATAAAAAGGGAGGCTGTGGTGGGGCATAGAACTACAGTAAATACAGTCAATTCATAACTTCCAGGTTGTGAAAATAAACATTACCAAAGACCTTAACTCACACAGAATGCTTTTTTTGTGTTCCACTGTGCTAGTAATGTAAACATGCACTGAACTGATGTGTTTGACCGTTGCGTGCGCGGCTTTTACAGCATTTTTAACCGCAAAACCGCATGACCAAATGGAAAAACGCATTTTCAAAAACTTGAACTACTTTTAACTTCACGCTGCGAAGACATAAGACGCGAGCGCAACTGTGCTCAAATGCATCTGTCTAGCGCATGTTTACATAGAAAAACAATGGAAAAGCAGCGCAGTGAAATATGAAAAAAAACGCATTTGTGTGGCTCAAATGGATTGACAGACTGTTGTTCTATTCTCCACAGCTTTGTTTTCATTCATGTCAAATTAAATATGGCATCTACCCTGACTAAAAAATATTGCTTCTGCTGTTGAAGCAAACATGAGGCAGCTGTATATGTTTGTATGTTGGGTTTTGATACCATAAACCCTTTTTAAAACAATATTCCAGTTCAGTGCTATGCCTTTTTGTGTTCTCATCTTGTTTTATGAGATGTGATCGTGTTTACGTGACTTTTTTGTTTTTACTGTGACTGTAAATGTTGACATATTGTGTGTTTACATTGTGTGGCCATGTGCAATTGTGTGTGAACTAGAGGACCTGATTGAACACATCATGTTAGTGTCACCCTAAGCTATTTAAATGACCATTAGAGAATACATTCCGTGTTGATTTAACTGTTTACATATCAGGGGGTTCATTTATTTGATGTATTTCATGTAATTAATAAAGCAAATGACGTTTTATATATCTGACTGAAGGAGTTTTCTTTACTTTTGTGGGAAAACGTGCGTGTTACATCACAGGATTACGGATCAACAGCTGGGCAGAGTTTACTTTTAGAGACTTTGCAGCGATTGGTATTCAGAGGAAAGCTGGTCCATCTGCGTTCAGATGGTGGAGATTTTAAAATCAGCTGTTTCAAATCCACTCAGCAGTCTAGTACTGAATACATATATTCCTCTGTTTACTCAGTGTTAAGGTGCGTTCACACCATGTTGTTATTACCGTAACGATTCTGAACTGTAATAAGCCTTCACATGCATGTAGAAATTAATTACAACGTACGTAATTCTCTTGTACCACGTGGCCACTGTTCCACCTGACCACTGCAGATTTAAGGTGTGTTTGACTTGAAGCAGCGATCAGTGAATGACATAAAAGTACAGCGAGAGCGGTTGGAAAGCATACAGAGCTTTATTTACAGTGATTACGACATGGCGTGAACGCAGCTTTAGGTGCTGAATTAGAATGGCTAGTTGAAGTGGAGCTGTCCGTGGTGCTGAATGGACACTTGAACTGTTGCAGGTGGTTTGAAACTTTTTTGAATTTTTTTTAGGGTGAGCAAAAACGCGCTGTTTTTGTGTCTGTCCCTTTAAATGCAAATGACCTGCTGCTCTCAGCACAGGGGGCGGAGCTACAACAGCTTGTGTCCTTTTACCTCACACACATGCACTGTCTGAAAATGTCAGTGTTAATGTTAAAACGGAGTCAGACAATAATGGAGAGACTCAAGAAGATGTAACAACATGTAGAAACAACAGGACATTTCTGAGTGGTTAGTTGATGAATTTATGTAGCTTATGTGTAGTTATCTTCTACTCATTGATTAGCATATTCTGACTTCCTTCTTTAATGACGTCAGTAGAACAGTTTTTTGACTAATGTCCACCCACAGGAATGCTCCCTCAACTTACTGTGTTTACTCAGCTCTTACGGTGATTTTCTGAAGTAAAACTGACGCTTCATCTTTTGTGTGATGTACAATAAACTTTATTAAACTCATCAGTATGTTTGATCATCATTCTGACCTGGTCCGAAACAGCAGACTTGCTATTAATAAATAATGGATACAAGCAGATGACAAATACGTTATAAATTATTAACGTATTAAACTACTACACTATACCTGTTCCATCTCTATACAGCACTCTGACTCTGTAGGCATTATTGTCCGACTCGAAATGAACACCGTTACTGAGAGTTTCTGATATTATCATCATTCCGTGAGATGAAATTGTCCTGAGAGACTGAGCGCGAGCTCACGAAGCTCCGCCCCCTGTGCCGGCAGCAGCAGCTCATTTGCATTTAAAGGGCACACACTAAAGCAGCGCGTTTTTCTGAGCCCCCCCCAAAAATGACAATATAAACATGCTGTAAAAAATGATCTGTTGGGTATTTTGAGCTGAAACTTCCCATACACATTCTGGGGACATCAGAGACTTATTTTACATCTTGTGAAAAGGGGCATAATACTGGACCTTTAAAAGCAAATATCTCCCTTTGCTTTGAACTTTGAGCTTCATAACCGATGTTGTTTATGCTCAAACAGCAACATTACACACTAACTAAAGCTGGAAAAGTGAAATCATGATCAACCACCCCTTTAAGTTGGTGAGTAAGGCAACACTTAAAACACCCAAACATCAGTATTTTTTTTTAATTATTATTTTACTCATGTAAAGGTACCACATACAAAGGCCATATATGAAAAGATCAAACATTTTACAGCATTATTTTATTTTTTTAAATATCAGCCAAAATAAAATAAAATGTATTCAAATAAAAAGTAAAAACACAATGGCATTAGAATACAAATAATTTACAACAAACAGTAGGCCTACTTTGTGATTTCATAAGTGGTTAGTAAAAAAAACGAGCAATCGCTAAATAATGGTACATAGTAAATATATAGATATCCATAAAAGGTATGGCAACAAAAAAAACTTCTAAAGAAGTTCTATTGTGAAATCATGCAGTGATGGAGCACGACCAGAGGCCACTGAGCACCGCTAGCAGGTATAAGACCGACGTGCTTGCAGCAGTCACTGGCCCGCTGTTACACAGGTCAGTGTTGCAACATCTGTAAGTGTATTCTGATATCGACGGGAACTTCTGGGACAGACGAGAGTTATCACAGTCAGTGTATCGAATGCACCGGCGAATGGTCTTCCCACCTGAAAAGTGAGAAATGTCTTAATTAGTGCATAGAATAGAATAGAATAGAATAGAATAGAATAGAATAGAATAGAATAGAATGGAATGGAATGGAATAGAATTTTTAAATGTTCTTTAAACTAGGAAAAAAAAAAATTATTTTAAGAACTGATCATTAAAGCTGTTCTTTGGGGAACCCAAAAGGATTCTTCTATGGCATCACTGTGAAAACCCTTTATTTTTTTAAGAGTGTAGAGTAGAACAGAACAGAAGTCATCTCCGTATAAACCACAAAAACGCGAATTTGTGAAAAGGATAACATCATGCCCATAAATATTATGTGTGCATTCTATAGGCTCATGGTGTTTCTTTACAAAGTGACATCGCCAATAATACAGCGTTTTTAGTCGTTTTCGCCGATCCGTGTGAACAGAAAATACTTTTCCATTTTTAGTACATAGTTGTTGTGTAAACGTACCCTTGAACTCTAAAACTAAACTTTTTACTGTTAACTTATTAACTAGTTATTCAACTTAAGTGACTTAATTTTAGAGAGTTCTCTGATCTTATTCAGTTTATTTGAAGAAAAAACTAAATGTCCCCAACGCTTGGGCCAAAGTGTGTCTGAGTCCTGTCTGATAATAAAAAAGGGGAAACAAAACTAGATGGTTGTCTAAATATATAAACTCATGACTTTGAGGAACAGGGTGAAGCAATCAAGAAATCCAGATTTGCTTTTACCAAGTAACAGTGTTGGCTGAATTATACATATGAAGAACCAATCATATTGTAGAAAAATGATGTAATGAATCATGCCACCTTTGCAATGCTCCGATTCTACACAAATTGTTGTAGTCTCTTTGTCGAGGGGATTCTCTGTGATTGATACGAGGTCCTCCCGACCGTGATTAAAGCATATTCAAAGGCACTGTCTGGAATCTGTCTGGTTACTGCAGGTTAGTGGAACACTAGAGACCCTTTTCCCAAGTGATAGTGTTCAGGTGTGTAGGGGAATTATACCACAATGGCCATTTCATTTACTAATTAAGTAATATTAAGTAAGTGATTATATTTTAGATTAATTAATAAAGTACAGTTTTAAACAGTAACTAATTTACTCACCCAACTCTGCTCAACATCATATGGTTAGAACATATTGCAAGAGTGATTCAGAAAAGTGAAGTTAGTTCTTAGAAAATGTCTAGCTGCATGGATGGAAATTACAATGGACACTTACAAAATGGAAAGGTTAATAGCATTTGTTAACAGTGAACTGGAAGAATTTACATTGAAATGGGAAAAATGGGTTAATTGCGTAACACCCCATCGGCCTGATTTTATTTTCAAAATTTGATAAATGTTTATCTAATGTTGAATCTCAATAAAAATAAAATAAAAACAATTCTATAATGTCACTTGTTTGTAGATTGTTTGATATTTTATATGTAAAGCAAAGATATTTTAAGTGACTTAAAGTACATTTTGGATAATAATATAATTAATATAATATAATAAAATATATCAAAAACAGAATAATAATTGCATTTAAAATGTCTACACTACTATAAAATAACTAAAAATATAAACGCCAAACATTTTTTCTGTCTGAGGAGGATATGTACTTTATCCACCCACCTTTCTCATGAAGATATAAACATGCGTCCTCGTAAGAACAAACTTGCTGGATTGAGCAATGGCCCCCAGTGTAATCCTCACACCTGTAGCATTGAAGAGACGAGCCTGCAGAGGAGAATCGCATTCCATAATGCTTATCGCCTGTTTCGAATAAAAAGCATTGAGGTCATGACCAAAGCCACACAAAACCATCCCGACAATAAGCGCCATATGCATTTAACTTACCGAAGCTAAGAGACACACAACAGACCAGCAGTAAAAGTCCAAGAGAGCACTTCATCGTGAGAAAACCTTCCTAATGAATCACAATATAAACTGAAATTAAACAGAACGAAAACTGGTGGAAATGAAAAGGCAAATCTGCTTTTTTGTGTGTATTTACTTGAATGAAAGCTATATGAAAAACATCAGCAGCATCAGAATTGTATTAAATATCACTTACCCTGCTCAAAATATATTCAGATGTTACAAACGTCCAAGCTTGTGCTTTTCAGCGAACCAAAAGAATTCCTCGCGCCACCTCTTCCCTGCTCGAGCTCTGGCCCAACCTCACCCTTGCCCTACATGAATGATGTCATTGATGGAGTTTCTCCTAAATGCCAAGTCAGATTAAAAGTCAGACCCTAAAAATTAGACTTGGTCATTATTGTTATAATGTCAGTGGTGTTCCTTCGAAAATGTGCAAAATGAAACATGGTTTTAATGTAGTCAGTGAGTTTTTCCTGCTAAAAAAGCTCAAATTCAACCCATTCAATTGTTTAGAGGTCAGAAATCTGTTCATATCTTAATGCATTTCAAAAACCATTTGCATTTCGCTTATCTAATCTTGCACAGCCAGAAGAGGGTTATTTCTTGACTTAAAATAGAGCACAATCATAATTTGCCTTTACAAAGATGGTATACAGAATCTTAAAACAAAAGATCTTTCTCGATGTTCTGAACTTCAGTTGAATCTAATTGTCTCTCTATCTGTACAGCTAGACCACTGACCACGAGAATTAAAACCCAATCCTTTCTGCTACGTTTCCCAACGCTGCAGCTGGTGGTGACAATAAGGCCAGTGTCACATTTCCCAGAGCCTTTCTGCAGTCATGGAAGCACTCAATTCAAATGTCATCTCAATGGCGCCCTTATTTTAGTCTGAATCTGAAAAGACACAAAATACAACTGTGAATCTGTATCTGGCGACAGCAGAACAATCGGTGTTAAGCTGATGGATTTGTTGGTATTTAAACACAGTGAAGTGGTGCTGTTTGTGTGGCAGCCCACACAAATACTCATGTTGTTGCTTTTTTCCCCTACGTTACCGAAGGGAACAGAAAAGTGTCAGAATGCTAATATCCAGGAGAAGGCGTGATGATTGGCTTTTTCCACAATGCCGGAATGGGACTGTGTTTAAAGGACCGAAATCTAGGCACAGATGAACAATGAAGCTGTGGTCAGACAAGCAACAAAGAGCACTTGATCTTTGTTTGGGCTGTGGCATTCAGTGCAGCATTTTAAAGGATGTTTGTGTGTGTGTCTGGCTAATCCAGCTCAAAAATAAAAGAAAGAGTCAATTTCGGCAAGTGCTTTTAGTTTCAGTTTCCAGATTTTTTTTATCCTGTGAAGTTAATTACACTACATTTCAAATATCTGAAAACATTTTTTGCATGCAACAATCATCTTTTTAAAAGGGGTCATGCCGTTTTTTAAAATTATTTTAACCTGGGGTCCTTCGGCCCAAATGGACCCGAAGCATTTAAATATATATATATTTTTAAATCATAGCTTTATCGGAATGGTCCGAAATTTGGTGACTTTGTTGGTACTTGGCATATGAACACCCAAAAAAATTGGGGACAGGATTTGAATAGTCTAAGTGGTTGTAAAAAAAAATAGTCACACTCAGGACTTTCGGGTCCAAATGGACCCGCATAGGAAATGAATGGGAAATTGGCAAAAATTTGAAAATACAGAGTTTTTTTGTGCGTACAATCAACAAATCAGCCACGATCCAGAAAAAAAGCACACAACAGTAAAGGGGTGAATCTATAAAACATCAAGAGTGCAAAACAGACACATCCACACACACACACACACACACACACACACACACACAAACACACTTTTATACACATACACACTAATAAATTCAGATTACATATGGGTTTTGAATTTTTAAAATGCTCAGTTTGTCCACCAGATGGCATCCATCTCATTTCAAAAATTGCTTTCATGAGGCCTAGGCTTGACTCTAAAATGAAATACAGCTTTAAAATGTTGCCCCTCTGGAACAACTACACCGCTTTACAAATATAGGACAGGAAGAGCTAAATAAACTTATCATTGCATCTAAACCAACAACATGTTTATTAGATCCAATACCAACTAAATTTCTGAAAGAAGTGTTACCTGTAGTGGAAGAGCCTCTTCTTAATATTATTAACTCGTCTTTATCTTTAGGTCATGTTCCAAAAATATTCAAGCTGGCAGTAATAAAACCTCTTATTAAGAAACCGCAATTAGATCCAAATAACTTAGCAAATTACAGACCCATTTCAAATCTTCCATTTATGTCTAAAATACTAGAAAAAACTGTGTCCGCTCAATTGTGCTCTTTCTTGCAAGAAAATGAGATATATGAAAAATTTCAGTCAGGATTCAGGCCGCATCATAGCACAGAAACTGCGCTAGTTAAAATTACAAATGATTTACTTTTAGCTTCTGACCAAGGCTGTATCTCAATACTACTTCTACTCGATCTTAGTGCTGCGTTTGACACTATCGATCATAAAATACTCTTGGATCGATTACAAAACTACACTGGTGTTCAGGGACAGGCATTAAGCTGGTTCAGATCGTACTTATCGGACCGTTACCATTTTGTTTGTTTAAATGGGGAAAAATCGAAGATAACGTCAGTAGACTATGGAGTGCCGCAAGGATCGGAGTTAGGCCCTCTGCTATTCTGAATATATATGCTGCCACTTGGTAATATTATAAGAAAACATGGAATTAATTTCCACTGTTATGCTGATGACACTCAATTATATATTTCATCACGGCCAGATGAAAACACTAACTCATCAAAATTGACAGAGTGTCTTAAAGATATAAAATGCTGGATGACGGGTAATTTCCTGCTACTAAATCCAGATAAAACGGAGGTATTACTTGTTGGTCCAAAAAACTACCCACAAAACCACTTACAATACAACCTTAATATAGAAGGATGTCCTGTTACTTTATCCTCTACGGTAAAAGACCTGGGAGTTATACTAGACCGCAACCTGTCTTTCGAAAATCATATTTCATATGTTACAAGAACTGCCCTTTTCCACCTTAGAAACATTACTAAATTACGTAACATGCTATCTGTTTCCGATGCAGAAAAGTTAGTCCATGCATTCATGACCTCGAGACTAGATTATTGTAATGCTTTATTAGCTGGTTGTCCTGCATGCTCAATAAACAAGCTACAGTTAGTGCAAAATGCAGCCGCTAGAGTTCTTACTAGGTCAAGAAAATATGATCATATAACACCAATTTTATCATTTCTACACTGGCTACCTATCAAGTTCCGTATCAATTATAAAGTACTATTACTGACCTATAAAGCCCTAAATGGTTTAGCTCCTGTGTATTTAATGGACCTTTTATCGCCCTACAATCCATCGCGTTCTTTAAGATCACTAAATTCGAGGCTTCTGGTCATTCCTAGGATATCTAAGTCGACTAAAGGAGGGAGGGCGTTCTCACATTTAGCTCCTAAACTCTGGAATAGCCTTCCTGATATTGTTCGAGGCTCTGACTCGCTGTCCCAGTTTAAAACTAGATTAAAGACGCATCTCTTTAGCCAAGCATTTACATAATGCTTACCTTTTATACCACTGCTGAATCAGATCAAATGCATTTAATACTATAAAACTTGAAGAGACTGTAGGTTATTTGTATAGGTTGCATAGTATTTACAGTCATTACGTTCCTGTGGATATTGCGTGAATGACGGGTGGTTGGGCAGAGATTGTGTTTTGCGGTAGGTGGTATGCCATATGGAACCGTTGCCACTGAAACTGCATATTAACGCACCAGTGGGGCTCGACAGCCTTAGTCAACAGGTTGGCGCGTATGGTTGGGTTGCGGAGAGATTGTGAGATTGTGGTTAGGTCTCAGCAGCAGGAGGGATGTAGAGGTCAGTAAGCTGGGCTGAGTTGAGTGGGGGACGGAGGGGGGTGATTTTGGGACGCAAGAGTCACTGTCTTCATGTTTTATCATTTACGACTGTGCTATGGAAATCATCACTATGAACAGCAGCTACGCTAATTATTTTCCCTTTTTCCTTTTCTGCTGTTATCTCGGGACGCGAGTCCCGAGAAAATGGCGTTCGTCAGCCCCAGTTTGTATCCAGCCTCTCACGGAGACTTGAGATGCTCCAACCACAAAGCCTGTGAAGTGACGACTCAGCACGGGCGATATGGACCCTCTATGGTGGACGGCACTGATCCTCAACAACTCGTCTTAATACCGGCGTGATTACTTGGACTTCCAAAAGATGGAAATGGATAAATACTCTAAATGTTCCGATCCAATCTGACTTGTAATGCTGCCCGAATCATGCACTGTTCCTTCGTTGGTCAGAGGAGAACTGGCCCCCCGACTGAGTCTGATTTCTCCCAAGCAGGCACGTGCACAGGTAGGGCTCAACCTGTGCAGAGCACATGCCCTTTTTGCCGGAGTGCCCTTTTTTTTGGTGATGGTGTTTTTTTAGTTTTTTAAAATATAAATCAATGCTATTTATTGATCATCCTTTAAGTCTATCTGTCTGTTTTAAAAATATTTAGCCGATGAAAGATCTTAAAAAGAGCTTGTGTAAATCTTGTTCGATCCTCAAACTGTCAGTAAAGCTGATAACTCCACCCCTTCTATCGTGACTGAATGAGCTGAAGCTCCGCAGCGGCCGCACAGCAGACAGCAGCTGAACGAAGTTTTAAGGGTAAACTAAGATCTTGTTGTTTGAATAAGTACTAAACACGTTGTCTATAAAAGCTCATATTTTATTTATTTGATGTCTGACTAAGATATGTGGGACCTGAGAGAGAGGACTATATGCTAATATTGCCATAGTCATAGCCAATACATAGCCTATAGCCTGTGCATACAGCACAGCAGCATTTCATTTTTTATAAAATGCGATTTTGACCAAATGTATTTTACAACAGGACAAACTGAGCGCCTATATAGCTATAACAATCTAACGTTAGTTGGTAAGCTGTTGATGAAAATGTAATGATGCCGCCGGCGCCGTTTCCATCGGAAAATCATAAGCACAGGTGCGCCCCCGCGCTGTTCGTACTGGAACTACACAAATCGACGAGTGATCCTCGTCACCTACCTAACATATATTTCTAAGAAATGTGTTCTTTGCTTTATGATTGCTGCTGATACACTTAATTTATTAACATTTAATCATGTTATGGTAATAATATTAAATTATGGTTAATTCAAGGCTGTTAATATGGACGTATTCGCTGTCTAATTCTTGAATCTATAGTATTTTATATACTCTCCGGTCGTCCTCACATGTATAAATGTAGTAAAACATGGTTTTACTACAGTAATGTTGTAGTAGTAACTAAAAAAAAAAAAAACATTACAGAAGATCACTGTGAAATCTTTATATTTTATCATCCATAATGTAATTTGTGATTTCATTCATTCCCAGGCTTAATTTATTTGATCCAAAATAAGCAAAAACAGTAATATTGTGATATTTTCAATTATATTCAATTGTTTGATTATATTCAAATATTATCTATTTGAATATATTTTAAAATGTTATTTATTTCTGTGGTCAAAGCTGACTTCAGTGTCATGTGATCCTTCAGAAATGCTTTTCACTGCAACTGTACTTTTCACACTATTTTATAATTTTTTCATTGCTGGCTTATTTTATGGAAAGTGTAGTGAATAAGAGACCTTCAAGAGACCAACATTGGTCCTCCACAGTGTCCGGTTTTTGCCATCAACTGCAACTGTGGAGAGATCCTTTTCAAAAATGAGGTTATTTAAGAACCAACTCCGAAGCCTTTGCTCAGAGGAGAGACTCTCAGACCTTCTCCACATAGCCATAGAGAGGGACATCACAGTGAAGTCATAAACATCTTCAAGCATGGCTCACAGAAGGTTGCTGTTGTAATATGGTTTAAAGAAGCCTTGAAGCCCTGTATATCTATATTATCTATATTAGTATTATTATGGTTGTTAATAATAGTGAATACATCTAAAGCTTTTGAGACTATTATTTTTTTTGTATTGAATTTGTCATGAAGATGTGACCATTTCCTCCTTTTATTTAGGCTTACTAAATAATCTTGATATAAAAAAGGGAGGGGGGTGCCCTTTTTCAGTTTCAGCACATGCCCCTCAAAAGGTCTGTGCACGGCCCTGCTCCCAAGGTTTTTTTCTCCATTTTGTCACCTGATGGAGTTTTGGTTCCTTGCCACTGTTGCCTTGGCTTTTGGCTTGCTTATGGGGACATTTAATATTCAATAATATTATTGATCTGCCTTACTTAGGTGGACGTTGACACAATTTTCTTTTAGAAACAAACTTTGTTATATTGTTATATTGTTTTTGTTATATTGTTTTCATGTTATCACTGTGAAGCGCTTTGATACAATCTGTATTGTAAAAAGCGCTATATAAATAAAGGTGAATTGAATTGAATTAAAAAAAAAAAAAAAAAGTTCTAATATATTTAATGGGGAAAAAATGGGTCATAATTATTGCATTAATATTAATTATAAATCATTTTTATTTTTGAAATTATCTCAAAACAGAAATTATCTCAAAAAAGAAAAGAAAAAATATTATTAAAAAAAAGTAAAAAAAAAAAAAAATATGATTTTTTTAAAATAAATATTAATCCCACCCTTCCGGCCCATTTGGACCCGAAGGTCCTGAGTGTGACTCTGAAATGAAGGACCCCAGAGGGTTAATATGTTCCTCTAAGTTCACTTATAATGTTAATAAAGTTTTTTTTTCAACCCTCATTGTGACCCTCTGTCCGAAATGATCCGTTTTTAAAGGGCGTCTCCTTTAAGGCTGGTCACTAAACGGCCACTGTTATGATTGGCTAACATCATTGCATAGGAAACAGTATCAAAGTGAAAACATTAGCCATCTATCGTTTACAGATTGCAAAGCATTATGAAATCATTCACTTGTAATGCAGCTGCAGTAAGATCAGTTTAGCTGCTTCATCTTTCAACAAAAGTTTCTTTGCAAACTCTTCATTTTACAAAACAAAATTCTCCGAACAAACATATAATCCTCCGGCACAATTCGGGACGCCATTAAAATAAACCATCCACTTGTTTCCGACGCTGGGATCCTTCTAAAGTCTGTACAGAGACACAAACGAGCTGTTTAAACTGGACACGTTTCACTTCACTCTTCCATTTGTCCTGTTGTCGACAGATCTGTATCCAGTGTAGACAGCGTCTGTGATTATAATGGGTTCTGTTTGCTTTTGACACGACGCGACACTCACATACAGTGTAGGCACTCAGACGTTATTAAGCAATGTTATATAACTATTCGTCAATGTCTTGCTCTGGAGGCAGGCATATGGAAATGTATTTGCCCGTGTGACATCACAAATCTCACAATATCCAAACAAGTCGTTTTTGGAGCTTGATTAACCCTCTAGGGTTCTTCGGACCAAATGGACCCGAAGAATTTAAATAAAAAAATGTGTAAAATCATAGCTTCATCGGAATGGTCCGAAATTTGGTGACTTTGTTGGTACTTGGTATATGAACACCCCAAAAAAAATTGGGGACAGGATTTGAATAGTCTAAGTGGTTGTAAAAAAAAATGGTCACACTCAGGGTCTTCGGGTCCAAATGGACCCGCCATAGGAAATGAATGGGAAATTGACAAAAATGTGACAATACATAGTTGTTTTGTGCGTACAATCAACAAATCAGCCACGATCCAGAAAAAAAGACACAACAGTGAAGGGGTGAATCTATAAAACATCAAGAGTGCAAAACAGACACATCCATACACACACACACACACACACACAGACACACTTTTATACACAAACACACTAATAAATTCAGATTACATAAATATGTTTTGAATTTTTAAAAATCACAGCTTCATCGGAATGTTACGAAACTAGGTGACTTTTATGGTATTAGGTATGTGAACAAACAAAAAATATTGAGGTCATGATCCAAGCATGCTAAGTGGTCGTCACACTTCTGCTCTTTGGTCAAAAATGACCCCCATAGGAAATGAATGGGAAATTGTCAGTTTTTTTTTTTTTGCATACAATCTACAAATCAGCCAGGATGCAGAAAAAAGGACTCAACAGTGAAGGGGTGAATCTCTAAAACATCAAGAGTGCAAAACAGACACACACACATACACACACACACACACACACACACTGTATTATATATTTATAATAATCTGTATTATAAAGTAAAACTGGCACTTCAAATTACCATTTAAACCAAACAAACAAACAAAAAACAAGACAAAAATAGTCTTTGAGAATCTGTTATTATATTTTAAAATCAACAACCAGAAAAAAATTGTCAAAGATGTGCAAAACTCACAAGAATTCTGAACCCTTTCTACAGAGAGCTGTAAATCCACTAGTGGTAAAAATGTGCTATTGCGTGATAAAAATGCTCAGTGTGTCCAGCAGATGGCATCCATCTCATTTCAAAAATTGTTTTCATGAGGCCTAGGCTTGACTCTAAAATGAAATACAGCTTTAAAAATTTTTTTTTTTTAAATACATATTTATATAAAAATTATATTATATTCAATGGGAAAAAAATGGGTCATAATTATTGCATAAATATTAATTATAAATCATAAAATTTTCTCAAAACACCAAAAAATAAAAGAATTTTTTTTATAAAAAACAAGTAAAAAAATTTATATATGATTTTCTTTTAATAAATATGAATCAAACCCTTCCGGACCATTTGGTCCCGAAGACCCTGAGTGTGACCCTGAAATGAAGGACCCCAGAGGGTTAAATAAATGCTTTGTTTATAATGAGGACGTTTTAAGCTATGAAACTTGCAGGATGTTTTAATGGTACAAAGACCTCTTAGGCAAATTTGATTTCTCATGTCATGACTCCTTTAAACCCAAGGTCATCTTATCATATCTTTATCTATGAATAGTGAGACAATTAAGAAACCAGTGAAAAAATGACCATGACAATGAAAATAACATAAAAAACTTTATTAAACCATTATTTGTTGAATATAGATTCCATATGCTGTCATTTTAAGTGGGTGTCTATAATACATGTACACATTCTCACATGTAATACATTTCACATGTAGTTCATATTCTTGAGTTTCCAGTGTTATGTTTTCAGGAAGAAGGTGTGTATGATGTATAAATCCAAGCAAGTGACATATTTCTCGGCAAAAAGAAACTGAATGAGATTATAGAGCTACCATTCACTTATTTCATTTAATTCCGTTAGAAAATAAACTTGAAATCAGAAGTAACTTTGTTCCTTAGGCCTTAAACCTAATGTCTCCCACATAAAAATAGATCATCAATAATTGTTTGAAAAACATTTCATAATAATTCATAATATGGACAATGAACATTATTGTGATTACATGACAAGTAAATCAAGAAGCACAAAATTATGAATCTAGCATAACATTTACATTTGGTACGCGTAGTATTTGATGAAAGGAAAATGAAAGCCTTAACTAAACAAAATCAGGCTTGACTTTGGCTCATTTGATCAGAATTCACCATTGAAGACGAGCAAACGCTAGCTTTGACACAGCTAGGGCGTATAACTCCCAACACAATAAGAGAAGATTCACTCGATGGCATACCTCACTGTGAGGTAACAGTCTAACATTCAAAAGCATTCACATACATGCATAAATGAAACAAAACGTTTTGATTTTTGGCAGCGCACTTATTAATCCTTTACACAATCCTATTGCTATTCCAAATGAGTTCAGATGTGGGTATGCTTTGACATCAATTGCTCACTGGGACGAGAAATGCTAACAAAAATGCAAACTACTTTGAAACATAATAGTTATAAACATAATAATCTTTAGCGTAGCACAGCTTTTAAAATGTACATTCATTAAAACAGAATAAAAAAATGGATTTATCAAAATGTTTTCCCTAAAATACAACCTTTCTAAAGCTTTAAACATGCTAAATTTTCAGACGTGCAAAATCTAAATCTATTTTGAAAAAAAAGACAAGCTGTTTTAATTTCTCTAGAAAATTTGATCAATGTAAAACCTTGCAGCACATGGAAGGTAGTCAAGTCTTAACTGTGCATGTGGATAGTTAAAAGTTAACGTATCTTTAGAGAACACTGCATTTAACTGCACCATTTCGTAGTATAAAGTGAGAACAATCAATACTATTTAATATAGGTACGTTCACACCATGTCTTAATTACCTATTAAGAGATTTCAACTTGTAAAAAACGTTCACGTCCTCGTAAAGCTCGTAATTACAACTTGTAAACTGGGAACGCCTACTTGTACCATGTGACCACTGTACTTTAAACATGGTAATTTAGACATGGCGTGAATGCAGCATATTATACTGCATGTATTTTTTTTTAGATTGATAGATGGAGATATACCACAGATTACAATATTTTCTTAATGGATAATAATGACGCTTTAACAGTTATATGAATAAAACTGACATAACTCATGTTTAATTTTAACTACAACATTGCAAATATGACTTTAATAGCCTTAATTTTAATAATAGATCTCAACTGGTCACTTTTTTTTTTTTGACCCTGAGAAATTACTTTTTAAAATAGTTATGAATGAAAAGTATGGAAATTTCTAGAACAAAATAAAAAGGGCAAATCCATAGGCCTTTTATAAAACATGCTTGATCACACTGGGAACCTCTAAATTCCAGAGTTTTGTTTAAATTAACATTTTAAGTAAGTTTTAAACTTGCCTGTATTTAAGAACATACAATTTAATTGTAAAATATATATTGCACAGGTATAATCGATGGAATTTAGTGGCAAGGCAAGGTACGGCAAAATAACTAATTAAAAGTCAGTGAAAAAAAAAAATGCTGCTGACCATAAGACATGCACACTGGTAAATTACATGAATGCACACAATAACAATCAAAAATACAAAATATTTGTTCTTGTATGACATTAAAATAAAATGAATTTCTTTCAGGTACTTAATGTCTAAAAAAATTGCCAAAGGTAAATTGTTGTACAGTGTCGCCTACTAGTGGTGACGTCATGCACAAGCATTTGAATCCGAAGAAAAGTATGGCTGATGAAGACAGAGAGTGATTATATTTGGGGCTATTATTACTGAAATATTCATCATTTTAAATTTTCAGTCATTAGACTATTTAGGCTGCCTATATGCAGCATTAAAAAGTAAACATATGATATATTTGTTGCTTTGATACAGCATCAATAGTAAAATCGAGTAAAACCGAAATGAAAATTTAACTATATTATCATTTGAACTGGCTTATAAGGAGACCTGAAGTGGCTGTCTGTAACTGTACATAAAACATGTACCAGAAATCAAACACCAGCACATGACATTTTTTTCTGTTGGTAAGGAATTCAAACCTTGCATATTTAGGCTATATACTTTAAATCAGATTAGGTGTAAACTGCACATTACAGGTGCCTGATTGCATAAAGTATTATGGCACATCAACATGTTTTCAAACCATTTTTACATGTAATCTTAAGAGTAATGGTAAACTTAAAGCAGGGCTCCTCTAAACTGTCCTGCAGACTTTAGCTCAAACACACCTGTAATCTTCTAGTAAATCTGAAGACTTTAATAAGCTTGTTCAAGAGTGTTTGATTACGGCTAGAACTAAACTCTGCAGGGCAGTGGCCCTCCAGGACCGGATTTTGAGGACCCCTGATTTAAAGGGCATCTAAAAAAAAAAAAAAAAAAGATACAAAAATGTTAGGAATATACTGCATGGCAAAATAGTGGCTATTTCCATTCCGATTAGCGATAACCAGCATAAAGAACATGCTAAAAAATTAAGCACTTTTTGTTAGATAATTTTCCTACACACACAAGTCTACATACAAATACAGAATGATTGCTCGAATTATATTGCAGACAGAATAATAAAACAGTTTTTCCAGAAAGTTTTCAGCTAAATCAGCTTTTGCAAGAAGGTGACATTTTCAGAGATTACAAAAGACTGTAAGGAGGCTTCATTCACCAACGCCTGATGAAATGGTGCTCAGTCGAACATTCACTTAACGGCAACAATCCTCACGACTAGAAAATAGTTTCTCTTTGGAACAAAAACACATATCAACACATCACAACCATTTACATGAACATTTTAAAGTGTTTCATGTGCCTGCGACCTGCAAAGGCATTCATACCGACTCTTAGAGAAGACGCTGATCTAGGCCATTAGCAGCAGGGCCAGTGTCAAACTACTTGGCCAATCACATTATAGTCCCGATCAGCCCTTTTCCAATGAGATGGCTTTTTTGGAATCATGTTGGCTGAGGAATTGGCTCTGATCAGTCACATATCAGGATAATACTCTGCATTTATATCCATATTGTGCAACACAGACTTTTGTTCGGCGGTGGACATTCTGCTTAGCACCTCTGCTGAGAGCGAATAGCTGTTCCCAGATTTCTCTTCAAACCAGCTGTCCAATGCTCGCTTTCCATCAAAGTTACCGATAGGCGGTCCGTTAATGGCCAAGGTGAGCAGATCATTGATCTGATCCAGAGTCAGTCTGGAACGGCTATTTCGGCGCACTTTTTGCAATGAACCTCTTCCTTTGTCGCAGCAGGTCGTTGACGTTGGCAAGACCCTGACAACCTGCAGGATGTGATTGAGAAGAGGAAAACGTTGCTTGTATCTGAAGATGTGGCTGACTACTTCTTTAAAACCATTCACACTACAATAATCAGCTTTCAGATCCCTCCATTCAACCACAAGACTTCCTCTGGCATCTATTCTTTCTCGAGAGAGTTTGCGCCCGGATGAAGGAAGAGTCTCCAGGTGGTCAAAAATTACAAGGATCTCCTCCTCTCCATATGCGCCAAGAACATCCCTGTTAAGAGGCCACGAGGCCAGGTCAAGCACCTGACAAGCCTGGACCACTGTGCGACTACGTGTATCAAAACGTTGGGCCAGGATGCCTTGACTTCGCTGACAGATCTTCTCTCGAATGGACTGAAACTTGGACTCTGCAACCCGCAAGTTCTTGAGGTCCACACCATTGAAACTCTCTCGAAAGTTGTCTTCAAACTCCTGTAGGTACTCCCCTGGGGAATCCACCAGTTGACCAATCTCATGAATGGCATCCTCAATTTTTGCGTCCACCTGTGACGCCAACAAATAGTCCCCCTGAAAGATGAAAGCAAGTCGTGAAAAGACAGCAATGATGTCCAACAGAAAATAGATCAGCTTCACGGACTGATAGTCCAACAGGAACTGTAGAAGAGACAGAGCGATGGCAGCAGCATCACCTCTCTGGGTTTGGCTGCTTATGCTCTTCAAGTGAGCAACCACCTCTAAATAGTCCTTAATTAGGGCATTGAGAACATTGGGTTCCCCTATGATCCAACGAACGGCCCTTATATCCCCAAGAAATTCGGCTTCCTCGGACAGAGTTGGGGCTGTTGACCTTAGCTCAGCCATCATACGTGGAGAATACCGGTAGAAACTAAGCAGTTGCTTCAAATTGTTCTCCAAATCCTCCAAGCAAGACAGTTCCTTACCACTGATGGCATCCAGAACCTCTAAATGGGGGCGATGGATCATCACAGGAAGACACAACAACCAAGGGATTGTCTTTTGTATGGCTATGTAAAGATTTGCCCTCAGACTAGAGGAGATGTTTGAGCCATCTATTCCCAAGCCAACAACTAGCATGTCCTGGAGTCTTAGCCCAAGGACACCAAAGGCACGATCCACGGCCTGAAGGTAGCCTTCCACGTTGCCCCCGCAAAGCCTTTGCAGGGAGAGGAACTCGGTGGCAGGAAGACCATCAGTGGTGGTGAACTGGACGTAAACGGCAACAGTGTCAGCCAGGAGATCGTCGTGCTGTCCATCCATGATGATGCTTAAAAAGGGCGAAAGGCGAATCTTCTCAGCCAGATCCTCTTTGAATGCTCGAGCGATGTGTTGGATGAGAATCTGACAGTCATTTTCATTCATGTACTGATCCACCACTTTGAGGTCGCACTTCTTGAGGAGCTCTGCCAAGGGTCGCAGATCGGAAAATGGCCGTCCTTCCAAAGCCAGATGGTAGGCAGCGTTGAAGAGTGTTATCATATTACGACACATCTCCTCAGTTTTCTCCGGGTGCATGCGAAGTTTGTAAAGCTGCAAACACTTCTTGTGCAGATTGCTCTGGCTGTGCAGTTTAATGGTGTGGATCTTGAATTGCTTGGAGCCAATTATAAAAGCAGAGGTACGGGAGGACTGGACGGTGTATTGTCTGCACACGTGGCACCACATCTCATTCAGTGTGGGTGAATAACGGAGAAACCAGAACTTCTTCAGCCACTCCTGTTTGAAGCGGCGAATCCGACGACCTGAGCCCACCGAGAGTTTTGAAGACTCATCCGCAGCCACCATGAGGTCAGCAGAAATGGATTCATCAGCAGAATCAACATCCTGGTCATCCTCTTCAAGCACCGCTGGGATTGGCGTCATGGAGTCTACAACAGATGAGCAAACAGAGCATAACATTAAACTGAACACAAATATAACGCAGAGTTAAAATTCAAGAAACAATTCTTTACTGATTAGATTTGGAGTGAATGAAGGTTTCAGAGTTTCCATACCTATTATAAGCACACCTTATCTCAAGTTCTACATCAACCAATACAGTAAAAAAAAAAATATTTTTTAAAAATATGATTATAAAAAAAATTTAATTTTTTTTTTTGTTTCTGAAAAACAACAAACCAAACACAAGCAGAAAATTAAACTTTAGTGGCAGGTTTCAAAAAGTAAATAAAGTAATTTTATTAAAACTTTTAATTTAGAGTGAACTTCCATTTGAAACATTTTGACAAATACGGCAATCACACAATCAATGGCAAAAAGACAAAAGTTGATGGATTAAGAGACAAAATGGTCTATATAGCCATATATTTTAAAAAACATCAATGTTAAAATTTATTGCAGACAGGCTCTCTCTCATCCATGGTAGCGTTTCATCCCAGCTGCAAACCTACCTCTGAGGTCCTCACTAGGAAGGGGCTCAGATGGTGGTACAGGCTTAATTTCAACATGCCCCTGTCCTCTGAGACGGAGCAGTTCAGCCTCCAGCTCACGGATTCGTCGTTTTAGCCTCACACAGTTCGGGCAGAAAGATGTCGATGGTCCTTCGCCGGTCAGGGTCGCATCTTCTTCCGTGTCTTCCATTTTAATACATTTGGCATCAAAGCCACTCTCGTGGTGATCCATGGAAGCCAATCCAGAGGCAAAGACTGACACTTTACACTCACCGTCAGGATGGCTGAAAACCTGGCAGACATTTGTTCTTGCTCTTGGAAAAGACAAGGTGCTGTTCAGTGGGTTGTTCTGACTTTGATTAGCCTCCAGAGATGCTTCCAGAACATCTTTGAAAATGAGGTCAATCTTCTTTTTCTTGGCCTGGGGCTGGTTTTCTGCCTCATCACTTCCATGCTTACTTAGGGTCCTTCTACCGTGCATTGCAGACCTCAACACTGGACCTTTGGGCTCATCGTGCTCTTCTAATTTCACTCCTGCAATACAATACCGCAATGGTTGATAAGGAAAATGAATACTATCAGCATAAAACTGTGTGGTAAAATATAAAACTGGAAAAAAGTATGATAGGCTAAACCAGGATGAGTAAAAAGATTTTGTATGTAAAATATAATCCCATTTCACTTACCTGTTAAACCATTGCAGGCCCGGAACATCTCGTCTGGGTACTTTTTTTGTTGATCAAAAATGTTCAATATGAAATAAGTTATATTTTGGTCTGTTCCTCACACAAATCTATCAGAAGACTTGAAATATAGAGCACATTTATGAAACTTTTATGATGCCTTTGGATCCCTTTTGAAGCTTGAAACCTCCAGCCTACATTAATTGTCATTGAAAAGTAAAGCAGGACCAGTACAATTCTTTCTCCTTTTGTATTTCAGAGAAGAATGTCATAAAGGAACAACATAAGAATTTGTATGCACTACACATTTTTGGCTGAACTACAGTTAAAATTTTTTGTGAAATCTTGTGAGTTTTCAGTCTTGTCACCTAGTGTTCAACAACACGCGTTTTATATTGAAAGAACCAAGTATTTTTTTATTTAACCTGCATTCAGCTCTGCACTGTATTAGCAGCCTCTTAAAAAGCAATCGGAGATTCCTTAACCTCTGACCTAATTCAAAATCCTTACTTTTTTCTCAAGCACCAGCAAGAGGTGTCTCACCTGTGTCTAGATTGCGGTCAATGCTGTCCCGAGACACACTCTGCAGTCGCCTCATGTACTCGCTGCTGTGCCACACACGAAGTTTCTCGCCCACCGTCAGTCTCCGACACACTCGGAAGTAGATTTGATTGCCATGTTGAAATGCACTCAAGTTCTTTTCACTCTCTTCTGAAGAAATCTGAATAAACCTGAGAGGAATAAACTAAATTAGCACTGAGAACAATCATATGAATTCAAACAAGGTGATTAAAAGAACAGCATTTTGAACACTTGATTACTACAATAGAACAATTTTCTTAGAAATTAAAAAGAAAAGAGGATTTAAAGTGGCATAATATTACCTCATCCAGTTAGCTGTAGTTTCATCACTCCCATCAATGAATTTATATTTGTTGTCCTTATCAACAATCTGCAATAAATACATTTGACATTAAAATAGTTTTTACCTGCATTAAAAATGAATACAAATACATACAACTATGCTAATTGGTGATTAAACATACAACATAACCTACCATCCAGGAGTATGGCCCTGAAGGTTCATCTGAGGTCATTATTTGGCCTTGATAAGGACCAAACAGCACCCCCTTTGGTATATTTTCATCCATGCAGCAGACATCCACCTTCTCACCATCTCGGCGGACCTCGATGCCTGAGGGTACGGTGAGAGCTGCCCGATTGGGCACCCCTGACGCCACAGGAGTGTCCGGCACAAAGACAGGCGGCCCATGGGTAGGGCAGTCCTCCAAGAAATACTTCTTACACTCTTCACAGACTGTATAATAAGCAATAAGTAACAGCATAATTATATAAAATTCTCATCTGATATCAAATTTCCAAAGACCTACAGTACTTCTATATAAGTTTAAAGGAATAGTTCACTCAAAAATGAAAATTATCCCATTATTTACTCCCCCCTCAAGCCTATAGGTGTATGTGACTTTCTTCTTTCAGCCAAACAAAATCGGAGTTATATTAAATAATATCCTGGCTCTTCTCAGCTTTGTAATGGCATTGAATAGTGCCCGAGTTTTGAAGCCCAAAAAGCGCATCCACTCCAGTGGATTGATAAATGGCAATAAAAACATGGATATTTTTCTTACGAAAACCAATCGCTTCGTTTCAGAAGGCATTAATCGTATCAATCGAGTCGTATGGATTACTTTTATTAGGGATGGACGTGCTTTTTTTGGGCTTCAAAAACTCTATTCAATGCCATCACAAAGCTGGGAAGAGCCAAAATATTTTTTAAAGTGCCCCTATTATGGATTTTTGAAAATGACCTTTCATGTAGTTTGTAACATAGCTCTAAGTGAATGAAAACATGCTGCAAAGTTTTAAATCTGAAGGTGCACGGTATATAACGTTGTTGTCTTTCAAAAGTAAGAGTAGACTGAGTCAATGAAATGAATCGTTTTTCACGAGTCATAAGCCGTTTCGTTGTGACGTCAAGACGAAACATTAGCATATTGCCCGCCCACTTATTGCGCGCGCAGACACCAGGGAAAACTTGAACCTCAAACACTGCAGCTGATTCCTGTAGATACTGGATTGCATCATGTCCAGAAGACAAGACGCTGTGCTCTACAATGTGAAGGTAAAGCCAGTTTTTTTTCACTGCCCAAGGACGGGCATGTGAAAAATCAGAGGTTAAAATTCATCACCACAAGCAGTGTAATCCTAAACTTTAGCTGTGTTCCCTTTATTTTACTGACGACTGCTTCTCAAATCTCAGAGTTCAATGCAGGATTTGAGAACCACTTGCTCTTGAAAGATGGTGTTCAAAATACTTGTTTTGAGTTTTATATTGTGTTGGTCTCCTGCTAACTGGTTAACTCACATTATTACTGTCTTACTGAAATACTTCTGCTAATCAGTTGTGGGCCTAAAACTGTGTCTATTAATGCAGATTGTCTGTCGTTCTCACTACTTTGAGGAAAGATTAAGCATGGAGCAAGATTTGTTTTACCAACGTTTATGTCACATCAGTCACTCACGCTAGAGCTCGGCTAATGTATGCACTGTTATTGATGCAGTTTCCACATGTTCACCGCAATAAATTAGAAAAATACTCGGTAAATAAATAAGTACAAGTAAAATCGGTTTGTTAATGGACATGCACTTGTTAATGCTGATGGGGAGGAATTACAGTTACAAAATCTCAATGTACCTCAAACTGAGTAGTGTATCACTGAGAAACGTCTTGCTCGAGTCGTCCTTGTGATAGAGGTTCGGGTTGAATAACTAGTTCAGGACAGCTGACGTTGTAATGGCAATGGGCGTTTTTGTTTTCGACGCGTGCGCTGTACACGGTAGACCAATTACAACAGACTGCTGTCGGGCCAATCAGAGCAGAGTAGCTCGCGGAAAGGAGGAATTTAGAAAGATTGATTCATCTGACGAGTCGTTTGAGAATCATTGAAGATGTAATGATGTGCAAATGTATATTATGTGAAAATGAAACATTTTTTTGACCTTTGATGCATGTAAACCTGTTGTAGGAGACTCCAAAACAACATAAGGAAACTTTAAAATAGCATAATAGGGGCACTTTAATACAGCTCCGATTGTGTTTGGATGAAAGAAGATATATACACCTTGGAAGGCTTAAGGGTGAGTAAATTATGGGTAAATATTTATTACAGTAAATTATACTTACAATAAAAACTGGTACAGTGCTCATGGTCAACTTTTGGTTTTTTGTTTGGCTCTTCAGTTGACTTCTCATTTGAGGCACTAGGGTAAATGGGTAGAAAAACAGCTTATTACTACAGATTTTCGACTTTTATGCACAGGAATTGCTCTTTAAATGTTTCCTATTGTTCACACTTTGTAAGACTGACCTGGTGCTGCATTCGGCCTCTGCCTCCATGGAAGAGTGGTCTGGAACAGCACAGGAATCTGCCATCTGGGCAGGAAAGAGAAACTCCTGTGTGCCCCGTTTCACTTCGACATGTTCTTCTGTTCTGAAATTCATCAGTTAAACTTTTAACTCACATTTTTATGTTGATGATATAATTTGCAATCTTTTTTTAATATATAAAATAATGTATTTAAAAATATTCCATTTTTACTAGCCACTAATCTCAAAATTTGCCAATTGTATATAATTTGTAGTCTAAAATCCTGATACTGTGGGAGTAAAAAAAAAAAAAAGAAGAGAAGTTTATGCCAATGTTATTACCCAAATACAGTTGGGCACCGTGACGTCATGCTGGCTTTACCTTGTCATCTCATTTGCATTTGTTGGTTATACATGTTAACTTAAGTTGCATTCATGAAAACATGCATTACGCGATAACCACAACGCACGCTGAGTAAACTCGGAAAGTGACCGCAAGAAGCCTCACTGCGTTCTGCTGACGTTTCCTTTCCAAAATCTACTTCCAAAATATTTCAGTCAGAGAGCAGCGCTCTGATTGGCCAAACCGGCCATCACTCATAAACTACAAGAGCTGTGTGAGAGAGACGAGTGCAGGAAAACAAATAGGGCAACAATACTCCCTTGAAAGACAAAACTGCAGCAAAGTTGTGTTCTTCTAAACATTGTGAGGTAAACGTTGCACACACGATCAAGCGCGAGTGATGACAATGACGGTACGCAACGCTTCTGCACGCTCGGTCTCCTTTTAGCGTCTGCAAGGCAACTGGCAATTTGCCTAACGCTTTCGGAAGCCATTTTCATTGGCCACATTGGCTAGTGAGTGTAACTCACCGTCTGAGAATATACGCAGTGCGTCGTAGGGTCTTTGGTGGTCTTCTTCAGCCGTGGCGCGTCTCGTCTTTGGCCGCTAAGAGAAACGCGGCGGTGACGCAACAGCACGGGGGGATTTCACTAGTCCCGGGCGATGCAAAGTTTATCATCTCCAAATGTTTGTACCACAGTCAGCTGCTTCTCTCTGCTATGACCACCATCTTTTTATTACAGGAAATGACATGGAAAACGGAAGAAAGCGGCGTTTGTGCAGACCGGGCACGAAATTTCAGGAAAGGGAAAGTTAGATTGTGCGTGAAGTTGTATGAGGCAGCGGTTCACGCGCGTTCGTTTTCTGAACGCGCCTCCCGAAACGCCAAGTTCTCACCTTTTTAAAAATATATATTTTTTCAACGCACAGGTCTCTGCAATTCGTTCAGTTTAAAATGGCAAAAATAAATTGAATGTTGCAATAGAAGAAACTACCCATCTTCATTTTACTACTGAAACTGCTGCTGTTTTGGTTGATATGAGGTCGCAGCAATGAAGTGGAAGAACTGAAGCAATTTTCATACAATATTCAACGGTTTAGTCTAGTATTTAGTCTAATATCCAGGACTGTAGAGCAGGACATAAGCATTTAGTTTTTGAAGTAAATGTCTTCAGTTACTACTACAAACTGTGAAGCTGTTTTTTTTTAAACAAAACTGGTTGTGTGTATATATATATATATATATATATATATAAAATATAACAATTGTGCATTTGGAGGACATTCTTGTGGTAGTTGTATACAGGTGAAACTCAAAAAATTAGAATATCGTGCAAAAGTTAATTTCAGTAATTCAACTTAAAAGGTGAAACTAATATATTATACAGACTCATTACATGCAAAGTGAGATATTTCAAGCCTTTTTTTTTTGTTATAATTTTGATGATTATGGCTTACAGCTTATGAAAACCCCAAATTCAGAATTAGAATATTGTGAAAAGGTTTTCATATCTGTAATCCATAATCATCAAAATTATAACAAATAAAGGCTTGAAATATCTCACTTTGCATGTAATGAGTCTATATAATATATTAGTTTCACCTTTTAAGTTGAATTACTGAAATAAATAAACCTTTGCACGATATTCTAATTTTTCGAGTTTCACCTGTATCTTAAAGGGTTAGTTCACTCAAAAATGAAACTTCTGTCATTAATTACTCACCCACGTCGTTCCAAACCCGTAAGACTTTCGTTCATCTTCGGAACAAAAATGATCTTTTTGATCCAAATCTGAGAGCTTTCTGTCCCTCCATTGACATCCACGCAACTACCACTTTGAAGCTTCAAAAAGTTCATAAAGAGATACTTGGACTAAACCGCTCAATTAATATGGATTAGTTTAAGAGACAAGATCGCTTTATATGATGAACAGATTGAAATTAGGCTTTTATTCACATATAAACGGAAGCTCAAGCATGTTCGCTTGACATGCAAGAACCAAAAAGGTTCATTCCCGTGTTACGCATCACGTTTGAGCTTCCAAAAGTACCAATGAGGTTTGTTCTCACGTGTCAAGCAGGTTTGGTTAAGCTTCTGTTTGTGTTCGCTGATTAATGTTTATATGTGCATAAAAGCCTAAATTAAATCCGTTCATCATAAAGCGATCAAGTCTCTTCAGAAAATTGCTCAATTCATATGAATTACTTTTATGAAACTTTTCGAAGCGTCAAAGTGGTAGTTGCGTAGCTGTCAATGAAGGGACAGAAAGCTCTCAAGATTTCATAAAAAAAAATCTTCATTTGTCTTCCAAGGGTTGGAGGGCCTTAACAGTCCATAATTCACCTGCACTTGAGCTCAACCACCACCCTGACACTTCAAATCTCTCTTCTGCAAAGGCCAAATTTAATTCAAGACAAACGGGAGGCAAATATTCTTTGTCAATTTATTAACAAAATGATAAAATAAATAAATACAAATTGATCAAATGCTCCTAATATCAATTTCTTCCCATGTTCCCTACAGTATTTTCAAAACACTGCATACAAAGGACTCATCACAGGCTCAATACAGGAGAGGTAAAAACCAACTGACTCACTCACAATGTCAGGCGAACAAACGAGGAGAAAAAAGACCAAAGAGAGAGAGAGAGCTCTGTAACAGAAAAAAGTCAAAAAATAAACACACTCCTTTTTAAAATCATTATGAAAAAATACAAACAATTTTACAAATATTCATATTGTGTAAAACCATTTACACTTAGTTCAGCACACCAGGTGAACTTTTTTTTTTAAATAACTCATGTCGCTACAATGTATCCTGTTTTGTGTTTCATCAAGTGGAAGATTTTTTTTTTGATTTTTCTTTTTTTGCACGCGTAAACAAAAATGTTTTCCAATTTGACAGTTGACTGTAGATGAGGTATCGCTCACACACACACACCTGCTCAAACACACTCACTCACACACACACTGCACAACATCAGGGAAGTCACGACAATAGAAATGAAATGCATCAACAGTACAAGGCCACAATCATGACGTAGTATGAAAGGTGAACGGAAACTACATTGAAACTACAATGACTTCTTTGTCACTGTGGAATTATAACGCACCATAAAGAATATGGATGATCTACAAACTATTAAGATCAAGGTGACATGATGAACAGCTGAAATGGGTCTAAAATGTTACGATTTTATGCATTAAATGTACACCGCAACCTTTCGCCTTTTAAAAGTTCGAAAACCAAAATTGCAAAGCCATACAGACAACTCAGAAAGCTGGCGGAAAGCGTTTCCCACGTGTCGGAGCCATAAGCTAAAGCAGTAATGAACCGTGATGGAAAAAAACCCCTCAATGATATGTATCTCGGATGCATATAAAAAGGCTTCCTAATAGTAAAATGCATGTTTGCAATCTCTTTGGGTATACAGAACTTGAATGCTTTGAATGCGTGGCTTTCTGAAGTTCCCTCCCCTTTCTTTCTAAATACCCCCACCCACAACAGATTACATGCACTCTGCAATATAAGCCATGTAAGACCATAAATATCTTCTCACAACCACTGGAACCCCCCCCAAACCCCGCCCACCCAGCGCCCCCAAGATAACAATAACATTCAGCATGGTGTGCTAGCAAAGGCAGACTTGAATGAAAGTACCGGTCCATGAGATTCATACACAGCTGAAATGCCACATTTCCATGTTCCAAAGAGCCCAGAATTGTGGCCAGCAAATAATTCCCATCTGTAACTGTACATGAATTAACTATTTTCTACAGATGCCATTGTGAAAGTGTATATTGTTCATAATTTAAACAACAAAAAAAACAAAAAAAATGCATGTGTATTTAAGAGATGTACATATGTATACTGTTTCGTTTTGGCATCATCTTCGCCAGACATGTAAAAAGGAAAGTGACACAAAGTTCACATAAAAATCTTTACAAAATAAACTCAGAACTAAATGCATATTAAAAAAGTCTGACAAAACTTATATAAAAAAGTTGCATAAGAAGGCATGCTTTTTGTTGAACTGATTGGACAGGTGGTGTTCTGGGCGTTTGAGTCTATCCAATCAGACTGCAGGTTTTCTTTGATCCGTTCAGCCTTGCTAATAGTCAAGGCTGAAAGCTAAATACCTGATTCAGGTACAAGTCCAGTATTCTAACTCAGTGACTGAAGGAGAGATGAAGTGAATAAGAAAGGGTGCACATCATGTTATGTATGACATTAAGTTGTAGTCACTGGCCTGAACAGTCCTGTTTTGTGATACAAGAAAAAAATCTCCTGAATTTTACACTAAAAGAGAACTTAAAATGAGCAGACAATTATGTATTTTGGAAAACAAAACATAGTAATACTTAGGAGATTCCTATAAAAAGTGCATAAAGACAGGAAACCATGACTTCCTAAACTTCCAGAACTTCTTTTCCAATGAACGTCAATCCAAAAATGCCTTTTTCGCCACAACTTTCACACACTTAATATTTTGGTGGCACAGAGCGCTCCGATAAACCAATGAATTATTTAAAAACATTATAATGGAACTTTTTTCTTTCTTTTTTTTAGACCAATTTTGTGCACCACTAAGATATACTTTTGTTCAGAGTGTTAAAAAAACTCAAGGCAACTCCTTAAAATATTGCCTACACTAGAGGGGCTCTTTAACTTCACAGCAGATAAGTAGGTTTAGTAAACAGACAGACAAACAGGACCAGACCAACACAAGCACATCACTACAACCAGTTCACTTTAACCAATGAAATTACAACAAATGTGCTTCTAATAGAGGTTAAATGAGTGACATTTTGCAGAGAGGGGGAAATATGACCAGTTTCATTCGATATTTTTAGGGAAAGACATGTAGGTGAGCTAGGAGATTAAATTCTGTATGTAAAAGGTTGAAGGCACTCTGGGCACCTGTACAGGAAGGAGTAAAAGTAGTTTTCTTGAAATATTCTCAGACTGACAATGGTGACTTCTGGAAGGCATTAAATATTCATGTCGGTATGCCACAATAATGGTTGCCATGATATGAATGTTTATCCATCATTACCCAATCCTGGCTCAAAGGGTAAGAGGGCATTATGGGAATGTATTAAGGATAAGTATGTGAATTTTCACAGTAGATTGTGAGAAATTGCAGCACATTGTCGATATAACCAAGACCCCATCCACTAAGAACCACGAATTGGGGTTTAAAGCCATGAAAGCCTGACTACACAAGACAAATCCATCATAAAAAAAAAAAAGACAAAACCGTAAACGTCATCCCAAGCACAGAATCCATATTGTGTAAGTTATCTCTCATGGTTAAACAGTCAGAATTAGCAATGCGTCGTCCTTTTGAAATCCCCAAATAAATAAGCACTGCATACATGGTATAGTGAAAATTAGCACTGACAACGATGTCCTAAACGGATACGTGGAATTTGATATGCTTAAATTGTTCAATCCTAGCCTGAGTGGCTGTCATCACAAAGGTAAAAGGGATATGCTGTTTTGACAAACATAAAAAAGGTGCCAGCCGTGCATCACTGTTAAGACTTAACTTTACCTGGGACAGGTTAAGATACTACACAACACAAAGAAAAACCAGCAGAAGACTGTCCTAAACAGTGCTTCCCACTTTGTACGTCAGCAACTGACCACTGTTTTCCAACTTACAAGACGTTACGTTGGCAAACATTTTAAAAACCAACAGAAAAGTTAAGCGCTTTTGAAAATTTTGCTCGGAAAGTCTCTTAAGAGGTTATTAGTGCGTTTGCTTTAGTTATCTGCAATAAAGCTTGTGCTTTAAAAAAGGGTTTTCTGTCACTTCCTTATTACTCAATTTGGCTCATACATCAAACCCTCAAGTTTAAGACAGCAAATTGTGACTTAGTCATTATTGTTTTTCCAAGAAAAAAGAAAAAGAAAAAAAGATTTTGGAAAAATGGGGATGGGGCTAGTCCATTATATTCTAGACTAAACACAGTAAGAGGATATTTCCATTATTTTGGAATAAAAACAAAAAAAACTAAAGCATTTGGCAGTTCAGAATTCAAAAACAGGCACTCATTATGCAATGTGCCTCTCTGAGATTGAGAAAGCTGCTTGCATAATTCATGCCATTTTTAAACACCATTGATAAACAACTGTTTCATGAAACAGAAAAGCACTTATTTTCAATGAAGACTAGGAAGACCTGAATATATTTTCTTAAACAAAAAACAAAAACAAATCCACATACAGCATCAGGTACACACACACACACACACACACACACACACACACACACACTGACTTTAGAACAAGACTCATTCAATACACAGAACCACCATTGCTTTTCAGACTAATCTACCACGCATGATTTGTTGCAGTTTCTGAGATGTGACTTCTGGCGTAGCTTTCTCTTCCAGCCCTTTGTCAAAGATCTTCAGAGGCTTTGCAGAGCACTCTACTGCTAATTAGCCTGAGATGACTTGGAGATGGGACACTTTTTTACTGCTAACTGGGAAATGCGGACAAGAAGTTGTCGGGTGGAGGAGAGAAATTAGAGGGGTTGCTATACGCAGTCCTGGCCGAGTCCTGATTTAGTCTAACCTACGCCAGCAACAGGATTCTTTGCCTCTGCCTTGTCACTGGCGAATACTGATGCGTTGATTTTTGTCATGTTTGGAAAGAGAAGCATTTGGTTTTGCCAGTCCACTCAGGCCTGGCTGGAGGTGCACAGGGTGTGGGCATATTCATGCAGTCTTTGGACATGTCTGCCCTGCCTTTCTCCTCCCGGAGAGAAGACAACTAAGACAACCTATGAAACAAACCCCATGTTGGAGGCACACACTGGTCTGATCTGATAAATCATCATCTTTATCACCATCACCCTCATCCTACATCAACATCCTTATTATTATTAATATTATTAAACTACTTTTTTTTTTAAATCTAATAATTGGCATGACACTCTTTCTTAAGTCACCCTTTCTCCCACAAGTTTGGGCTCTATTGGTCTACAAGAACCAAGATTAGTTCTCCGTACTGTTGACACAGCATATGCATTAAAAAAAGAAAAAGAAAAGAAAGAAAATAAAAAACGACATTTATTTGGATATAGATAATATATATATGTATAATATATATATATATATATACGTATAGATTGGCAACTTTGTGCACCAGTCCAAGGTGCAATAGGAAATCTGTTTAAATGTTTTGGTGATGTAAGTGTGTTTAGGGTGAGGATGAGAACTATTTGGGGTTGTCCACGCTGCTTAGAGGGGCTGGCAAAGCCTGTTGAGAAGGTTCTGAGGTTTTGCCGTTGTTGGTGTTCACGCCATGACTTCCATCTTCCTGCAGCTCCACTTCCATCTTCCCAGCATCCTCTGCACAACTACTGTCAATGGGAGGGATGTTCTCAGAGTCGACCGAATCTGCGGCATCGACAGTACCCTCCTCTTCTTCCGGGTTCAAGCCGGTACAATCACAGTCTGTTCCTCCATTAGTCTTTACGTCCCTGACCTGAGGCAATTCCGCAGCCTCCACTGTTTTCACCGTATCCATTATATCGTCACCAACTGTGGTTTTGGGCACTTCCGGAACACAAATTCCCGATTCACCTGACGCAGCTTCAGGTGTGACTGCGGCCGCTGGCTCTGCCATTTCACCCACCTCTGGCTCTGCCTTCACTTCAGGGACTGCTACAGCGACTGGTACTTGCACGCTAGGCTCTGTGGGACTCTCCTGCACACACACTTGAGTAGCATCCTTTGAGTCTTTGATGCTCCCTGACTCTGTGCAGTCCTGTTTGGTTTCCTGTAGGATGTCCGTCTCCATGGGCTGAGTCAAGTTAAAGCTCTGGATTAGGCGGACCAGATGTTTCACCTTCTCCAGAGAGGACTGCATCTCCTTCTGACGGGCAAGTATGCTGTTCTTAGTCTCCATGCATTTCTGTTAAAGAACAGGAACTCAGCATTACATATCGCACACAGCATGTTATGAAATTACATTAAAGGAATAGTTTACCCAAAAATGAAAATTCTGGCATCATTTACTCAAGTTGTTTCAAGCCTGTATGAATTTCTTCCTTCTGCTGAACATAAAAAGATATTTCGAAGAATGTCGGTAACCAAACAGTTGATGGGTTACTGAGTTGATTACTTCCATTGGATTTTTTTCTATACTATGGAAGTCAATGTGGCCCATCAACTGTTTGGTTACCGACATTATTCAAAATATCTTGTGTGTTCAGCAGAAGGAAGAAACTTATACAGGTTTGGAACAACTTGAGGGTGAGTAAATGATGACAGAATTTTCATTTTTGGCTAAACTAGCCTTTAACATTAGGAATACAACTGACAATCATTAAATAAAACTTCAAAAAGAACTACAGTGTAGTGTGTGACAAGCCAGAAAATAAAGCTGAATGTTTGCCTTAAAATTGTTTTTCTGAGGCAAACATCCCTTCAAAGAGACGTAGTACAGCAGTATAATTAATCTTGAATCTGGAAATACTGAAAGAGGAAAATAATTAAATAACTCACTGTTATAGAATTGCTGAGCTGTTTCACTCTCTGTTCTAGTTGCTCTCGTTCCAGCTTTAGTTCGGCACTCCATTTCATTAACTTCTGCTTCTCTTCTTCTTTTGCTGTTGGACAGGGACGAAACAGCCATAAATTGAATGGCCTACAACATAGATTTATACATGACAGTCACTTTAATCCAAAATTGTTAGAAATATATTAGATGTTACCACTTACAGATTTCTACACTCGAAAATCTTAATATCAGTACCTTCTTTGTAAGCAATGTAGGAATGGACAATTGCCAGGGTTCCTGGCCATGGAATGGCCTCTTCCTTCTTCAGAATCTGTAAAAGAAATTCTCTCAATAACAGACCAGTGCTATGCACACTTGACCTTTGGAAAGACATGAGAGAAACTGAGATCAATTGTATATGGCAACAGTGATGAACAACAGAACTTCAATGGGAGTGCTGGATGCTGTCTTACACTTACATGATGGGTGGAAAAAAGGCACAATCAATACCGAACCATGTGAAGAGCTTACAAAGGACGAAACAGCCTTAACGCCTGAAGAAACTCAATTTGTGTAGGGGGGGGGGGAGGAATGTACACTTTATTTTGGCAGGGAAAGGGGAGTTTGACCTCTCAGTCGATCTCCCATTTCTAATTATATAACATTGTATGTGCTTTAAAGGACCGAATTCCAGTTAAAAGAAGACATCACTGACTAGCCTGGGAGAGGAGAGGCCGAGGGCTCATTGTGCTGCTATTATTTACCTGGTCTTGACATTTAGGACAGATCCACATGCCTTTGGGAATGTTTTTGAGGGGTGGGTCCAAGCAGTCGAGGTGGTAGACGCGCGAACATGTGTCACACATGAGCAACTGTCCACTGCGTCTGCACACAGTGCAGAAATCCTCATGGATGTCTCCCTGTCGGGAAGAACGGCAGGTGTCAGTACCACCGCCCCCCTTCTGGTCTGGACCAATTAGATGATAGCGGGAAGGGTGGGGAGGAGAGAAACTGACTGCTGTTTGGATTTATTTATCTAGTGGATCACTGGTGACTGGATTGTTCACTTAGTCGGGGCACTGGATATTTAGCTAGTATTTTATTACTATTATTATTATTGGGACCTATGTTAATCACTATTAAAATGTATCATGTATTTATCAGTATTGGGTATTTTGGCTTTTTAAAAATTGTATACTAGAATGAATTACTTCAGGCCTGATATTTGTGTGGAAAGTAGAGAAAGACTGTTCACTTTGTAAGACTGCTGGCTCCATTTCAACAAATACAACAAATAAACACATGAATGACAGTGCTGGTAGGTCAGTCTTTCTCTTTCCCGGGTGGATGCTGGACTCTAACAAACAGGAGTTACCTTGCTCCGGTACACATTGAGGTGTACAGGATGAATGCAGTGGAGGGTTTGGGGGGGGGGGGGGGGGGTAGGGGCAGCTTGTGAAGTAGAGAACTCTACTAGAACAATAATAAAAGTGGGGGCTGTCAACAACATGGTCGCCCAGACTTGGCAGGTGGCTACTTACATCCCCGGAGCTGGGGCTGGGCTGGGGGACAGAATGAGGGTGGACAGAGAGGGGAAAGCCCCCCGTGTCAGGCCGCTCAGGGGCTGGGGAGGCGGGAAGGCTGCTGGTGGGGGAGAGCAGGGGGTTGCAGCCCAGCTCCGGCACCGCCGTGCTGCTGGTGATGGTGGTGCTGTATTTAGGAGGGCGACCTGAGTGAAATGAGACAGACAAGAAAAGAAAAACAAACAAAAAAACAAAACCAAAAGGAACAGAAAAATGGAGGAGGAAAAAGGGAAAAGAAAGAAAAAAAAACACAAAGATGAAATAAAATAATGGCATTTTCTAGTTGCAACATACCTTAGAGAGGGGATCCTCATTGGCTAGCATGGAAACAGGAAAGGAGGGAGAGAGCGAAGGGGAAATGGAAGGGAGGGTCACAAAAAGCAGTTAGTGCAACAGACGACCACAGCAGCATGCAGGGAATTTGAAAAGCAATGAGCGAAAGAAAGAGTTAAAAGAGAGAGTGTGAAAGAGTCTAAGCCACAAACAGATAGACATCTAATCTCAAATCTCAATTTATTTCTCTGCAGATGTTGCCTACAGGAACAAGTAACAAGTTTTTCACAAACTCAATAAGATGTCGAAGATCAGGATAGGATCAACAACATTGTCTTTGGATTCACCACAGAAGAATATCTGCCCCCCTTTGACATTTTTATTTAATATTAGAAGTTTCTTGTCTATACTTATTATTGGAAACAGACATGTTCAGACAAGTACTTAAGGTAGTGTCCTAGGTCAAGCCTTTGAGGTGAAGTCTTGCAAGACCAAGCCCAAGTTGGTCCAAGGGGAAAGTTCAAGTCAATGTTCAAGTCAAGTCTTTCAAGGCCAAATCCAGCTAAATCAATCATGTTGAAACACCGCTCTGAAATTCAAGAGCAAATAACAGGGTATTTTCAAAGAAAAAAAGTGTGCAAAGAGCACACAAGAGACTCAAAGGTAAAGTAGAGCAAGACTGGGAGGACATATTTCACCCTGTACTGACTCTACTGACATTTTACAAAGGTCTCTGATTTTGGAGTCTTAAATCAAACGTTAACAAGTCCAAGACAAACCAAAAGTCTCCATCTCTGGAAACTACACAAAACTGAGGGAGCAGTTCCTCAACCACCAACTTTATCCTATAAAACATCATACATGTCATCTTAGGTCAACTGGACAGCTGTAGGACTGCAGAAAGATCAAGCTCAAGCAAAGACAACAAAGCAGAATTGCAGAAGAAAGCAGATAGGTGTCTATTAGGTGTCTGTTAGGCGGTACATGTAAGCAGCAGGGCTACAATACATCAACTTAAGCAACTAAGACAGGCAAGTACAGACCTCTCTTCCTGGTGCCTTGATGCAGTGGAGTGTTCAAGTAAGTGACAGCACTCTTTTTCCTCTGAGACATTCGAGAGAAGTCAGAATATTAGAAGAGGTGGAAGTACATTCCAATTTCTTAAAATCAGACCAGATGGAGGAGCGAACTACAAAAAAATGTTTGTACCTCGGGTTCAAACACTGCTCCACTGTACACTGGGTTGGCTGTTGTTCTCCTCTTACGTTCCTGTCTTCTGCTCTGAATCTCTGGAGAGAAAGGACATTCCAATCACATCTGGTTACAAAACATCCTGTCCTGGTAATTTTAATTTAGTGGAAACCCACATTATATCATTGATACCAATGGGACTTACCTTCAAGATGGTCATGTGTAACCAACCCAAGAGACACCATAAAGGCAAGTTTCTGAAGGAAGAAAATATATATTATTTTTTATTTCGACTTGAGACAGAATGGTTTTGTTAACTGTGAAGGTGCACAGTACCTGTGGGCTTTCCTCTCGTTTGACCTTAGCTGGAGGAGGAGGAAGAGGAGGAGAGGATGAGGGTGGTGTTTTTGTGACCACCCGTTCTGGTCCTCCCTGTGGTTTCACAGTCTGATGTAGAGAACAAGACACAAGGAATGCACTCCAGTCAGTTGAATGTTTGATTCTTAGAGCAAGAACAATAGATAAAAAGTTATCCTGGATAACTTTGCATGTCTGGAGCAAACAAGCAGGCTAATTAAAAATGTGCTCTTACCTTCAAGTCTGAGTTAAGGTTGCTGATTTGAAGTGCCTGGGCAGGACTGATGACAATGCCTGTGACATGCGTGGTGCCGCCCGTGACTGCGGTCGTGGTCTTGTCAATGGTGGCGCATTGCTGTCCGTTCACAATGCGCACCTGGTGGATGGGCCCAGTGGAGGCAGGCAGAGATGATGTCAGCTTTGTAGTGAGCATCAGGGGCCGCTGGATTAGAGGAGCCGCCACCATTGGAGGAGGAGCGGGAGCGATGGGCACATTGATGGGCATGGGGGGTTTTGGTCGAACCTATGTAATGGAGAAAAGGGTGCTGGGTTACTAAGCAGGTACAGTCTTGCCAAACCAATCGATTATGACAGCCACTCCGTTGCCATGCCCTTAATATGCATGCTGTTTTGGGTTAAGAGACCAAGTAATGCCAACACTTATCTCTGGTAAAGTGGATGAAAAATGTCCCATTGTGTGCAGAGCTCAATTTAGAAACACCAAAACAATCCCTTAAAGTAGAGGTGGGCAACTCTGGCCCTCGAAGTCCACTTTCCTGAAGAGTTTATCTCCAACCCTGATCAAACTCGCCTGCCTGTAACTTTCTAGTAATCCTGAAGACATTGATTAGCTTGTTCAGGTATGTTTGATTAGGGTTGGATCTGAACTCTGCAAGACAGTGGACTTTGAGAGCCCCTGAAGGGATTGTTCATCCCCCAAATTTTGCCATCAGTAGGGGATTTCGCACCGTTGTTATAGGAACCGGTAGTTATAGGAACTAGAGAACTAAATGTTCCTTTAGGGCCATTTTCCTGGTTGCATTCGCACCGCCAGTAGGAACTCTGAAGTAATGTAAGCCGCACTTTGTTGTCGTGACGTTTATTTCGACGGGAGAACGCTTTATTTCACTGAGAGCGCTAGAGCCTGAACGCGCAACGCTCACATTCTGTTTTCATTAGTTTACGATCTGTTTAACAGTCCTGTCTAATAGGTTATCAGACAGAACTGTTATACAAAGAAAGTAAACAGTATATGAAAAAGTCTTAGCGTTTGTCGTGTGTCGCTAGCTGAGCAGAAATACATAATCATGTTTTGATTGGTCCCCTCAAAGTCACATTGGATTTGTTCCTTAGCGTAAATGGTTGAAAGGTCCATCTATCACTGTTTTCCATGTTCCATGTAGTAAATGTATAGGCTATAATCTGTGTACACAAAATGGTGGGTGCTGCCTGGTGTTTCACGTGCATTCGGCCAATCAACATACACCTACGTCACTGGTAGTTCCAATTGACTCTGAAGTAGGAGGTAATTTAGTTCCCTCAAAAGGGGCAAACAAACTAACATTGTTCCAAGTTCCTGCGGTGTGAACACGGCAAAAAGCGAGTACTTCCGCCATTAGTTCTAGGAACTATGAAAAGTTTCCTCTGGTGCGAAAGCCCCATTTACTCACCCTCATGTCATTATAAACCTGTATTGACTTTCTTCTGTGGAACACAAAGGAAGACATTTTAAACATTTTGAAACATTGCACCACTGACAGTTTTTTCTTCTTCTAAATATATCCTCGTTTGTGTTCCAAGGAGAAAGTATGGCATACAGGTTTGGAACAACTTGTGGGTAAATAAATGATGGGTTCAAGTGGATTAATCTGTGCTCACTTCAGCATTACGTAGCTTTTTGAGGTATAAGGTTATATACGGTCACTCTTTAAGGGGGTGGGGTTAGTGATAGGGTCAGCCAAAGCAATATCAAAAGAACAAAAGCAGAAAAACTGAAGCAACAACATTATTATAAAGGAACAAACAGCAAAACACTGTCTCACTCTTAAACCCCGTCGACACCAGACGTGATCAGCAACTTGCATACAGCGAGTACATTTTCATACATTACCAACAGATCTCTGTTGAAAAGTTATTCAACTAAATGTTAATACAACTGTTGTTGAAGATGCTGTGTAGCTTGGAAACTTTTAGTGTAGTAAGAATCAAACTGTAGCTGCACTTCTGGGTCACGTCCAGTGTAGACACGATGCTAAGGAAGCTTACACACTTGAGAAAGCTCTGGCGGAGTGTTTGACAAACAGGAATGCAGAAAGAAGCAGGTCAGCAGTAATACAGTGGACTTAATTGAATTTTCATTGGTCAACAGATGCTTAGGTCAGAGTGCAGTGCAGTTATACGTTTTCTTTAAGTCGCATGACAGAGTGCCACTTTTTCGAACCTTTTTCTTCTTATATTTTGCAAGACAAAGAAAACCCCATTGAAATCAACAGATTTGTAGCAATCTATGACAGCATAAACTCTAGTGTGTAAGCATCCTAAAGCAAAGAAAAAAAAAAACACTTGAGCAGACAGTATCACAGCAACAGCCAGTGCTAGGAAGGAGAAGGTGAGAGTCAGTTTTATTGTGAGGAAAAAAGCAGAATTTGAGTCTCTAGGTGTGGAACAGTAATTCTCTAGAATTCATCTTTAGAAGTTTGGGTGACAGTGTTCGAGCGATTTCAGTTCCCATCTTAAAAACTCTGTTTCAAGATGAGAAGTTTACTTTAATTGGATTGTCTCCGTAAACAAAGGCTTTACAGACACAGAGCCTTTACTAGATTGTGTGTCCCTCTGGTGGCGTCAATGTGGAACTGCATATACATAAGGGGAGGGGGGCAGGTCTAACAGAGACGCACCTGTGGCTGAAAGGTGGGTCGAGGCGTCAATCTAGGAGGAGGGACAAACTGGGGAACTTTGATAGGCTGGGCAGAGTTGGTGGTGGCCTGCACCTGTGACAAAACCAGCCGTTCATTGGGCACTCAGCAATTGAAATGAGAGAAATTCATAACATTGTCTGCTTTTAGAGGAAATTGGCCTCTTTCTGGTTGCAGTCACCATACACCCCTGCCAAGCACATCATTGTCAGAAAGGCAGTTATTTTTTTAAATATTCATACTAACTGGAGACATACACATATTGTTGTAAACACATCAGAGCAAATTGGGTCTGGCTAGTACTAGTCTACAGCAAACTATGCAAACACAGATCTTCAATTTAAAATAGTTATATTTAAGTTATATGGAAACATTATGTGAAGCGGAAGAAACCTTAGCATTGATTCACACTCACGACAATAACATTCTTGGACACAATCCGTGTGCCGGCATCTATGTCCTGATTGGGTAGCTTGCTGGCCACCTGAAGGTTGATTGGTGTGCTCTGGGAGTCGGAATTGGCGCCGGGTCTCGGGGGGTTGCTGATGGCAGTGACCATGGCGACTGTGGGGCGTTGTGTTGCCATGGAAGCAGGCATGGTGGAGGTGGCAGCTTTCAGCACGAGAGGTAGAGTCTTTGCAGTTATGACCGGCGTCATGGTGAGAGTCTTCTAGTTGAGGAGGTGGGGGGTAGGTTTTGATTGAGGGAAGCAATGAATGAGGACGAGGAGACACAAAAGATGGCATTAAAGTCAGCAGGAAATATACATATATGCTATAGACATTCTTAGACTTCTCTGCAGTTATTGTGTACAAATTATCAGTGGATGGGGAACATGTTTTGTCTTTGCCTTTAATCAAAATGTAACAACTTGAAACAACTTTTGGTAACAATAATTACTATAAATTGTGCATAATTACATGCAACTAACCTTAAACCAAACCCTTATCCTAACACTATAGTAAGTACTAGGGGTTGAACGACCTCAGATTTTTTTAAGTCGACTGTTATGCGATTAAAGTCGAGTCAATGATGACATCATTAATAAAAACAGAAGAGATGGGAATGCTCTGCAACACTGCACAATTTGCAACTAGAGGCTAAAGTTTGTGATGTTTGTTTTTGAGAAGCCTGAACCTTGAGCCGAGACTCAAACTTGGGTTACCTTGTGCAGAGCTGCGACATTTCAAAGAATTTTTATCAATTATTTTGTCTATGGGTCGTTATATTTCTTAGTTTTCTGCTCGTTCTAAATCAGATATAGATAAAGTAGCACAGTAAGATTACATTTATTTGAAAGCATTTGTGAAAGAGCGACTGAGTGTGTGAAATGTCTGTGTAGCATTTCTCAGTAACGCTTCCTTTTACAGTCCTGTTACCCATGTACTTACTATGTACTTATTATAGTAATTAAAATGACTGGGTAATAACTAGGTACTAACCCTGAACCTACCCCTAACCCATGTACTTACCTTATATTAGCCAGTACTTTCTAGGTAAGTACACTGTAAGTACACGTAAGTACTGTACTGTAAAAAGGAAGCGTTACCCATTTCTCTACTAATAGTGAATCTGTGGGTTTTAGTTACTTCAAAAACAGAAAGAAATATATGCTAGCACTTTTCTGTTAAAACAAGAGCTGACAGCAATTTTCTGCACTACTGAATGTTCTGTACTGTGTGTGTGATCTGCACATGATGTGCGAGCTATTGCCGTGTGCATATTACAATGTAGCAGCACTTTATTTCAGAAAAGCGATTATCTTACCTGTATAATAAACAGTTTAAAACATGAATTCACCTGATAGATTTTGAGTATGCAGATGGTATAAACAAACTTAACTTGTGGGAAAATAATTTATTTATTTATATACTGTATATATGCATTTATTTGTACAATTCGTAAAAGTGGACTTCAAAGATTTTTTATCCTGTTGCCCCCTCTTCAGGACAGCATTAGTATTACAGCCAATGTAAATATTTTTTTTTTTAGTTTTGATCGTAAATAATAAGAAAACCGTAAGTCCTATCAATTAGAGAATATATAGCACATTAAGAACAGAACAGTTTGTAGGTCTTCTGTCTTTTGCAAGGCGGCTATGTCGTTTGTGTAAAAAAAAAAAAAAAAAAAAAAATCACATGATCAGCGACTAGTCAACTAAAGTCTATTGGTCTGTGCAACCCCAAGCAAGTACATTATTACTCAGTGCTTAAATGTATAATTACACTGTAACACGGACACCTTCAAATAAAGTGTAACCCAACTTTTCAATAGTTCCACTTTTTTTCATGTTAAATATTCACTTAGAAATACAATACTTAGTAAAAAAAGTAATTATTTCTGTTGAATATTCTGTTTTACCAAATACTCCACATTACAGAAATAAAACGGTTTGTAAATGCCATTTCATGTGGATTTTAAAGATATTAAAAGTTCAATAGTTTAAAAATACTATGTTAAAAAGCAGTCACAGTATTTGGTCTTCTAACCTCAGCACAGAAAAAACAATACAAAAGAAGTTTGAGGTCATTCATTATTTATTAACTATATAAAATCCATACCATTCTTACAAAATTTCTAAGGTCACTCTGCCCTTATTTTTTACAAACTCAAAGCTTATTTCAGGGACAACGGTTAGTGAGTCTGCAATTACAGAGTGCACCTTTAGAACAGAGCAGCACAGATGACTCAGGACAATCGTTTTTCAATAAACCTTTTGGGTAAACTAGCTAATCGGCTAATTTTGTGCTGCGCTAGAGGAACTGAATTCACATCTCACCGGTAGTGGGTAAATATTCCACTGCGAATTACCTTTGAGTGTAGAGTCGTTCTACACATTTGTCTAGAAACTGTGTGGTGTTTGGAGTGCAAAGCGGTACCTGTGGCGCCCCCTGGTTGTGTGGAGGCCCTGTGGGCGGCTGTGAAGGGGGACAGGCGGGCGTCAGCAGCACGGTTTTACCGTCTGCGGTTGCTGGGAACGTCTGTGGCTTGAGTTCGGGTTCCTGTTTGACCAGCAACTCCTTCCGCAACTGCTCAACCACTTTTTTCTGAGAGAGAGAAATTACAGGGAAATTATACAGCCATTCGCATTCACATTTTGATTGTGTGTTAAGAGGAAATGGTGATTACAGAGAAACAACCAGAACATGTCAAATTGTTCTGAAACACACGTACACACTTTTTCTTGGAAATAAAAATGAAAAGACCCCCCCCCCCCTTCTCGTCTTTTCAATGTTCTGTTTATATCTAGCCGCAATGGTTTCTAATAATAGATCATTAGTCACAAAATTCCCTGGTTTTCTTTGTTCTGGGTGTGAAGCTAAGCTGTGCCTTAAAAGACCCTTCAGGTGCGAGACCATCTTAACAACACTGGAAATGCTTTTATAAAGGCCCACTGAGCCCTATACACACATACAGGGGAAAATGTGATTGAAATTCATCTCACACACTCTGCTGCCTCAGAGTCCTCTGGAGCCAAAGCGCACCTCTGAGAGTGGAAACACACACACATTCCTCAACAAAGCCCCTGCGCTAAGCACAACATCAAATGAAAGTCTCTTCCTCAAAAATAATTTTGACAAAACTATTTTTCTCTTTAAGCGGACGATCAATCACATAGTAGCTGCCTTAGACTCACAAGCAGAAAGTTTACATACGTAACAGACCGCCGTGCCAGCTGCGGGCCTCACATCGAGCCTAAAATCACATAAATAAAAATGTACTCGGAAAGAGTTTACAATTCATATGAATGGAACTGAGATTTAAAGGCAGACAAACTGTATTCACAGCCAAAAGAGTTGAAAAGGAGTCTGAGGAAGCGTCAACCTTTCGACCTGACACAATGCACACACACAGGCAACACGGCACCTTATGGATAAATTAGATGAATCTTACGAAAACCTGCGCAGGTCATATTTCACTCCAAATTTAAACTGAATTTTTGCCCAAAATAAAAATAAAGCTTACATTTAGGACTACTAGGATTTGTTGTATTGTGACATTTTCATGACAATTAATCACATTTCTACCCCCCAAAAAATCTCATCACTGAAATGCATTTGTATATTCACCAGTAAAAAAAAAAAGCCCTATTGTAATATAATGTGATATTTTGATTCTGCAAAAACTAAATACATTATGTATAAATATTTTGATTGAAATACAATCTGGGTCAAAGTCTGAGACTGATCTTATCTGTGTGTGTGTGTGTGTGTGTGTGTGTGTGTGTGTGTGTGTGTGTGTGTGTGTGTGTGTGTGTGTGTGTGTGTGTGTGTGTGTGTGTGTGTGTGTGTGTGTGAGTTTAAAGGTGCAGTATGTAATATTGACAGCTAGCGGTTGAAATGGGTAATGCAGTCCAAATTCAAAATATTGGAGAGAGTTATTTCTCCCGCCCCCTCCTCCTCAGACTCGATACTCATGGCGGTTCCCAGATTGAGGACACTCAACAGGAACAAGCGCAGTTAATTAATGCCTCTGTTCATAGAGCTTTTTAAATGGATGCAGAGGCCTTTTAGGTTGGCTAGAATCTGCGATCTCTGATCTAGTTTGTTTGCTGGCTTCCATGGCTACAATACTCACTGTTTTCAAAGTCCTTTTAGGCAAGGCATGCCACTCGGCCGCCATCTTGGCAACGCCTCCGGGCAGCTATTTGGGACTAACAAGACCAGGCTCCTATCTAAATGAATGGGCAGAGAGTCAGAACTGCAGTTTCACTGGTCACCGGGACATAAAAACTGGATGTATAGAAACAGCAGTAAAATATGATAAAAATCGCTGAAAAGGTTTGATGACTTTGCCCCAAAATAAGGTTTAAAAGGCCTTTTTCTCCACAGGTTATACGTTTACTACGCATGCGCAAGGGTTCTCGTCTCTGCTGACGCAAACCTCAACTGTGCGCATGCGTCAGTGGAACCAGACGATAGGCTTACATGTTTCCCGGCTTGACTGTTAAAAGCAGACGATTGGCTTTCCAGCAGGAGGGGCAGGGCATGTGCATACAACCGCCATCTTTGGCGTTACGGGTTTTCCCTATATAGTTGTATTGAGGATTGAGGAAGTGGCATGTCCCTATATAAATAGTCTTTGCTGTTTTTCACCAACTGGCAACCTGGAGTGCTGAAATACTATTGGGTAAATTGTCAGTGGCCGGGATCACAGTGACCAAAACAAAAAAAGACATTCCGACACGGAATGCACATTTCAAAGTAGAATAACTGGCTGTAACCGTGTTTTTCTGAGAAACAAGTATGTGAGCATACAATTTTCTCTAAATATCTGCAAACATATGGTATTTTAATGCTTTAGTACAGTTAAAAAAATATAATACATACAACACCTTTAATATAATATAATGGTAATTTAATATAAATTTTGAGGTGAAATGTGAACTAGCCAGGTTCTTGACAGGGTTCATGAGAGAACTGAATTAGCATTCACCGAACCATTTCATCATCTCATTCTATAATCCTCATCTGGCTTGGCTAAAGCTATACACATACATTATTTGCCCTCCACATTTGAGTACAGAGTTTTAAAAAAATTCAAATCATGTGTACTTATACTGATCTATTCTTTCTCTCTATCTCTTTCGAAGGATAAAAGCTCAAAGCTAAGCCAATGATCTGCGAGTCAGTAAACTGGGACGATTCTTTGATGAAACTAACTGGAGAATTTCAAGAGTAGGAAGAGAAAGAAAGAGAGAGAGATTGAGAGAGAGAGAGAAAGAAGTAAAACATTGCCCCAAAACTACTGTGCTGACTTGTGCAGACTTTTCAAGAAGCGACCGAATAAGTGAAATCTCAAACTCTCTGACAATTTTGGAGTGTTTTCACCAGCAGGAGACGAGACAAGCCCCAACACACACACACACACATCAAACTCATGCGCATGCACACACAGCAGGCTGCATGCTTTAGCTCTTCTGCCACAGTTCTTAAACACGCAGACGCTAGGCCTCTCCTGCTGGCTGCTCTTTCCTCTACCGCAAAAAACAATAATTCAATATATAGTGTTTATTTTCTATCTTATTTTATCATTATAAACTATAATTCCCACAAGGTCTAACTGACACTTCAGGAAATCAACAAAACAACTTTCAAGTAAACAAATCAAAATTCACTGCACACACAGATCTGCTGAAACACACTGGTGTTCTTCTGATGTTGCTTGAAAAGTAAAAGTAAACCCTGCTTTAAACCCGGCTATTATCGCCAGTGCTAGATAGATTACTTAGAAATTGTAGCCTAAGAGTGAATACAAATTACATGATGAAAATTGTACTCAGTAATAAACATAAATCGGACTACATTTTAATTACTTTTAGATTACTTTTGACCTAACTTAATTTTTCTTTCACTTTTTGTATTTTTTTTTATCAATAAGGTACACAATTATTCAATTTTTTGTAAACAACAAAGTTCCTTCAGGGTTTCCCATACTAGGGTTTGGGAAGGAACTGCAGGAGGTTCGTAAATTGATAAAAAAGCTAATTATTTTAACCTTAAAATCTATCAAATTAAAACATTACCAAACAAAAAGATTAAATATTTAATTTGTTTATGCTGTGTAACCTCAAAATTTTCCATGTAATTACAGTCGCCTGACTAGTGGCTGGACTGTGTGTGCGCAATTCCACAAAACTGAAGACTTCCTGAACATATATGAGCAATACGGTTTTTTAAAGCACATTTAAATGACAAAAAAGAATAATTATGGAGAATCAATGAATTCTGAATAATTTACTGCCATTTTGTGAATATTAAGTAAACAAGTTATCAATATAAAAAGTAACTGTAGTATGAGTCATTGTAGGCACTGAGTATTTAAAAACATTTTTGGAATCTGATTACGTAATCCAGATTACATATAAATCACATCCTACCCAGCACTGATTATTGCTAACTAATATAATATATATATATATATATATATATGTGTATATATATATATGTGTATATATATATATGTGTATATATATATATATATATATATATATATATATATATATATATATATATATATATATATATATATATATATATATAGATAAATGAAAAACAACACTAAAATTTCCTTGGCAGCTAAGTGTAGAAGCACAAAAATAGCGCTGGAAATAAATATACACTAAAACTGAACTAAAATTTAAATAAATAGTTAATAGTGTTTTTTTTGTGTTTTTTTAAAAGCACAAAATTAAAAAAACCTATAAAAAATTATATAAAATATGAAAAAACAGCTTATTGAAAATCTTAATAAAAACTATAATAATATATAAATAATACTAAATAACACTGGCTTCAACATGCACAAAACAGTCAAGTCACTGCTTGACATCAGGGCAATATGCCTTCAGAAACAATCATATTTAACTAAAAAAAGTTTTTCCCATCAATCCCTTTGGGAACAACAGCAGGATAAAATGCATATATATATATATATATATATATATGTATGTGTATATGTAGGTAAGTAGGTAAGTATTTAAGTATGTATGCATGTATGTATGTGTGTATATATATATATATATATATATATATATTAGGGCTGGGAAAAAATTAATCGTGATTAATCGCATCCAAAATAAAAGTTTTGTTTACATAATATATGTGTGTGTAGTGTGTGTAATTATTTTGTATATATAAATACACACACATGCATGTATATATTTAAGAAATATTTGCATGTATACACTGTATATATATTTATACATCATTTATATTATATATAAATATACATATTTTTTATATTAATAACACATTTTTCTTAAATATATACATGCATGTGTGTGTATTTATATATACAAAATAATTATACACACTACACACACATATTTTATGTAAACAAAACTTTTATTTTGGATGCGATTAATCACGATTAATTTTTTCCCAGCCCTAATATATATACATACATACATACATTCATTTACACATTATAAATTAAGTGCATATCCTTTGCACTGCATTAGTTCATGTGTTCAAGTAAATGTAAAAGATCAAGCCTAATGTAGTCAAATTGTCTTTTTTTTTTTACATTTACACCCAAAAATCACATAATCAAACTTTGCTCATTGACACATAGGCAATAAAGCATTTGAATCATGTTTCACTTTTCCCACCACTTGCAGCAGTGAGTGATGTCACAACTACTGTGAAACATCTTACCTGTTTCTCACTCAGAGCCGTGATTTTCGCTTGGAGCTCGTGAAGTTGTTTCTTCAGATCTGCGTTCTATTAAAAACACCAAAGATAAGAGTAAGAATCACTTATTTTGAACAACAATGACATATTCAATAATAATAATAATTCAGAATTGCTGAACCTTTGTTTAATAAAACACTTAAACAACATAAACAACACCACACAATCTTATTAAAATGCAAAATATAAGTGCTCAGCTGTCAATCATGTTAAAGTCCTCAAACAAACCGGAGGATTATTTCTGAAGAGCAACGTCATAAAGAATATTTACCTGTGGATCCTGCTTCATTTGGGCGACAAGTTTCTATGGCAACAGAAGAGAAGACAAGAATTTGCAGTCAAAACTTATGCCAACAGTTTTGGAGGGAGTTGCAGACTTGGTGTGGCATCTTCAGGCCACATGTGGAACTACAGCCTCACGTTCAAACAAAAGCAGAGCAGCAGGCAGCCTGCCAATGGCTTTCTGTGACTGTCTTCCAGTTAACAACGGTTAGTGGAGACACCGTTTAATGTGTTCATTTAGAACAAACATTTACCATTTGCAATGAACAAAGGGAATTTATATGAAAATGGTCAATTCCAGTTGATGTGGAAATCAATCAATCTTTGACTGACAGCTATAGTAAAGGGATGGTTCACCCAAACATGAAAATTGTCATCATTTACAAGTTCTGTCTTCTGCTGAACACAAAAGAAGATATTTTGAAGAATGTTGGTAATTAAACAGTTTTTAGTCCCCATTAACTTCCATAGTATTCTTCCTTTATGTTATGTTAAACAGAAGAAATAACTTCATGGAGGTTTAGAACAACTTGAAGGGTGAGTAAATGGCAGAATCTTTATTTTTTTGATGAACTATGCCTTTAAAAAGGAGAAAAAGATAGGGGAGAGTGGGGTAAGCGTGCTAATTTATACTCAAAGTTGTCCTCTAGACAAGGAGAAATGAGATATTAAATCTGTCCCCTAGTTATATTTCAGGACTTCTGCCACAGCCTCTAAAAAATAGCCTTTAAAAAATATTGAATTCACATTTTCATAAACCAGTTGTAAAATGCAGTCAAACAATTTCAGAAGTAAAGCTTAAGGCGTGCAGACCACTTTTATTATTTAATATATCATTTATTAATTCATTATTAGCATGGTTTTTCTTTAGCTCAAATTATTTTTTAGCTTGATTTTATACATTGGCGACATGTATAATATATGTCGTAAAATAAATACATAGGTTTTAAAATTAAGCTCATTTTACTAAACTTTAGAAACAAATCGTACGTTGTACATTTCACAAGCACATCATACATCATGGGCTCTTTCGAAATATATGGACAAATCATGACGCATCTTGTCCCACTTTAATATAAAAAAACCCAAGAGTGATTTGATGTTTCTTCAAAGTTTTCGCAGTCCACCAGTAGGCAACAGTGAGTCATGCGAGACCACAAAACAACCCGTTCAGCTGCCCCGGATGAGGCAACAAATCCCTCTTCCACCTGCCTGTCAAATATTCCAAGCGATATGAAGACAAAACCAGACGGCAGCACACAAAAAAAAACCTCCAGTATGTAAAAGAACACCTGCTTAAGATGATTCGTTACAATTGAAGTAATGGCTAACGCTTTATCAGCCCAGTATGAACCCGATTCTCCTCCTCTTTCTTTCTCTCCGTCCCTCCCTCCCTGTCTTTTTTCTTTCTCTTACCCCACTCAGACAGCTAGACTAATTTTCTGCCTGCTGGGACACGCCGTCTCTGACTGCGAGGGACAAGGAGAGAAACATATCTTCATTTAACACTAATGCTCAAGTGCAACGGTGGACCTGAAGACCTGTTCTCCCGGACTCCGAAATCATTTGAATCATCCGAAAAGCCTCTGCTTTCTGTCCTTATAGCAATGGAGGAGCTTTCCGGCATTGGCTTGCGACTTTAACTCTTGTAATGAGAGTACAGTGACACTTCACAATTGTTTTCCCCACACAATTTAACTGATTAGAAGCCCATTTGCAAGATCTCCTACCTGATGGACTTGTATTTCCACTTTCAGGGCCTCCTGTAATGTTTGCAATTCCATCATTGATCCAGTTCGCCAGAAAGAGAGTCCCAGGAAACTTACAGCCTGTCTAGAGAAATCACACAAAGACATTTCAGAGACTTATTGGATTTTTTTTTCTTCTTTTATGTTATATATTTAACCTTTATTTTGCGCGATGCTTGGAGGTTGACTTAATCCAACAGCACCACAAGGGGGAACACAAGTCGGTATCTAATGCGATTTGAGGGAAAAACGCACTTCTCTAAATCGAGGCATGATTCATGATGTCTCAGGTGGTGGTAAACAGACACGCTTTATTCAGGTCGTATTCCCAGAGCGATTCCGCAACACCACCGCACTTGCAAGAACCTCTTGTTTAAGTTCAAAAAGTATCTTGGCCAAACGGGACTAAAAGAAGGAAAAAACTCAATAGAGGTTCTTGTTGGAAAGCAGTTTTCTGGGAGAGAGGAAAACTGCGGTTGGTGGAGGATTAAAAACTTGACAATCGAGAAGATGGGCAGGACTGTTTTGCCCGTCGGATAAAACAGAACAACCTCGACGCAAAGACTTTAGAGTAACAGTGGGTGGATCGGAGGCAGTGTTACAGACATTCATTCACTCTCATTGATTTTGGTGTGCGGCCCTGTGCCAAGAGGACAATTATAACAGAGGCTATTAGAGGACTTACCAGCTGGCACTGAGACTGGTGTTCACGCGCTCTCTCCAACTCCCTGCACAAGATGAAACACACACACACACACACACACAAACAGAGCCTATTAGATTGGGGAGAGACACTCCAATTCCCTCTCTCTCTCTTATACAGTCTGTGAAAAAAGGGGCAACATTGCAAGCGCAGCATTTAGCAGGCTTCTAATTGCTCATCCCGTCTATGAACCCCACGACAAAAAAGTCCTGCATCCCTGTGCATCTCCCGGCATCTTCGCGGACCTAAAAATATCTTCCTCAAAACTCAAGCATTGGATTTGTTCTTTGTGCAGTCCTGCCAAATGGAGTTCTGTGGTATTAAAAGGTTAGTTCCCCCAGAAATGAAAATTCGGTCATTAATTACTCACCCTTTTGACTTTGATTCATCTTCGGAACAGAAATGAAGATCTTTTAAATTAACTGAGAGATTTCTGTCCCTCCATTGACAGCTACGCAACTACCACTTTGATGCTTCATGAAGTTCATAAAGAGATCGTAAAAACGAATCCATATTAAAGGTTCTCTAAGCGATCCTGGGTGACTTCACTTCTTGTTGACGTTCGAACTATTGTCAAACAAAACGGAGGCTAGCTAGACCCTCCCTCCTCCTCATCCGCACACTAACCCCCCAAACCCCACCCCCAAATCCTTCTTGTCGGTCATTGGCTGGAACAGTTTGTTATGTTTCGTGGAGCGGGTCGCCACAGTTTGTTTTTGTTGCTGTTTGTGGAGCCTGGGCTGTCTACAGAGATCGCGTTTCTTTACAGTGTGTTCAGGGGACAGGCAGCCAGCGGATAGTGAGGAGATGTTTGCTCTATGTGACAAAAAATGTTTTGGCCTAAAAAACGCGTGACATCGCTTAGAGCACCTTTAATTGAGCGGTTTAGTCCAAATTTTCTGAAGAGACTTGATCACTTTATATGATGAACAGATTGAATTTAGGCTTTTATTTACATATAAACATGCATCAACGCACACATCAATTGTGGTAAACGGAAGCTACATGTTCGCTTGACGTGTAAGAACCAATGAGGTTCATCACGCATCATGTTTGAGCTTCCGCAAGAACCAATGAGGTTTGTTCTCACTTGTCAAGCAGGTTTGGTTGAGCTGATCAATTTTTTTATGTGAATAAAAGCCTAAATTCAATCTGTTCATCATATAAAGCGATCGAGTTTCTACGACTAAACCGCTCGATTCATATGGATTAGTTTTACGATCTCTTTGAAGCGTCAAAGTGTCAGTTGTGTAGCCGTCAATGGAGCGACAGAAAGCTCTCAGATTTCATCAAAAAGATCTTCATTTGTGTTCTGAAGATTTTGGAACGACCTGAGGGAGAGTAAATGATGACAATTTATATTTTTGAGTGAACTAACCCTTTAAGCAAAGCCTATACTCGCCAGCGATGACATCTGTCATGACCACACGGAAGTCGGTATCTCAGGACCTTCAGCCTACAATGCACAGGAAACGACAACCTCTCAAATTAACAAGTCCATGAGTCACTATGCAAGTCTTTGATCAAATAGTCTAGAATAACACACAAGTAAATATATTACAATCACTTCATCTTTAAAAAGGAAACCATGTCAACTTGGGTGCTCACAAAAATTGGGAGTGATTATGAAAACTGAAGTTGATATTAGGTACCTTTTTCCAGGAAGTTTTCATCCTAAAATGTATTTTAAAAGCACACTGTCCATATATTTATAATATAATAAATAAAAACAATAACAGCCTGACCCAGCACCAATATTCATGAAAACGAATACTAACAAGCAGAAAGATACAAGCTGAGGTGGATCAGTGGTTATCATCTCTGCTGCCAACTACCAGGAAACAACACTATATGTAAACATTCAAAACCCAAACTAACGATAACTATATTAGCATACACACCAGCGCACGATATCGTTCTGTTTATTCTGAGAAAGCATAGTCGTTTTGTCGTCTGCTGGTCTCTTTGGTGTGCTTTCACTCTTTAAAGTCAGGTGGATACTGATGGGCTGTCAGTGATTTTATTGTTCATCAGCTGAAGAAAAAAAAAAGTTCTAAAAAGTGATTCCAATGATAACGTTTCTCTGTGGCAATATCGTTATAGTTGTATTTTGGATTAATATGCTATTCATTTGTATTTAGAATGATTTTTAGAACTATATCTTTATCGTTCTTTGTGTGAACGGACCTTAAGTCTCTGTAATAATTTACTGAAACTTGCAAGTCACATTATTATTAAATAGTAAACATTTTTTGTAGTAATAAGACTAGGTATAGTAATAATAATACTGATAACAACAACAACCGTAATAATAATATAATAATAGATATCACCATTCAAATCATGAAACTTTGGTTAGTTAGAGGTAAATCCCTCTGAACTAGACCGAAAATTTGATCTCGTCAATGATGCCATATGAGAGATTTATGTTGAATCATAATACTGACTGGCTTTTAGTAAGCACCAGCTAACGTCTTAAAAAAGGGTGACTATAAACCCTGCATATTAAAAATAAAATGAGCGGACAAAATTTGCATCAGTAATGAAAAATTAATATATTTACATTTGAATTTGCAATTCAAACCAGGTTCTGATTTGCGATATGAAAGTTATACAGTACAGTAAGAGGCTTTTCTTGTCTCTGTAAAGTTTTCAGTGACCTGTTGAAATCTTCTTTGTAAAACTATACAACCAACCCAGGTCAAAGCTAAACTCCTAAATCTAGAAGAATAAAACTTTTGGTTGTGCTTTGGAAAATATATAAGCAATACTACATATTTCAAAAAGTAAAACACAGCAATCTGAATTACATAAAAGTGAGAATAAGTCAGAACAACATTCTTGTAATACATTTTAATAAATATTAGTACTCTACAAAAAAAAAATAGCTGTTATTTTACACAAATACCTATACATGTAACAAATGGCAATCTTGTTTTAATTGACCTACAAACAACTGATTCATTTGAGTGCTGAAATTAAAGCAAACTGATAAAAGATGGCTAAAAATAGGCATAATAAGGGTAATGTGAATTATTGTCCTTTATAAATAGTATCCAGAATTGGATAAGGTAACACAATATCACAACTACACCTGACAAGACACAAACTATAGGACTAAAATACTTCCAGTGTCATGTTACATAAGCCAGCAACGTTTTGTTTTGCATAATTACTTGATATTCAAGAATGGCATGAACAACAAAACTCCTGTGCAAATTTGTGAGTATTGAACGCATTACATACATCGCTAACGTTACATGGAATCATAGAGGCCTAAAAGGTTTGATTGCCACAGTACAAAAACATTAAAAGTGAAACTAACGTTATATGTATAAGGAAAGCAAAACCTAAAGAAAGAGCTGAACATGTCAGGTGAGGGTGAAAACAGAGTAAAGTTGTACAAACATTTAAAAAATATCAACAATCAGTTCAACATATAAGCATGATGAAAGCCAAACATGAGCAGAAAAGCGAAGTAGATAAAAACAGTTAAACAATAACAAAAAAGTAAACACGTTACTAGAGTTTTACAAACATCACCAACCCGTTGTAAACTAGTAAACTGACACTAAACCTGTGCTAAAAAGTACTTAAAGTTTTCACAAAATTATCCAACAAAGACTAAATACGAAATATTCATACATGACAGATATCCTAAATAAGCTTTAATATGCCACCTGCAAAACTACAATAATGTGCAAAAGAGTCTGACAGGCAGTTAAGGTACAGTTTGATCCAAAATGATCCCGATCTATACATAAAACCCGGCTTTAGTTCAGTCCATCTGATCAGGGATGTGCAAATGACAGGAAAAGTTAAGCAGCACTTTGATTAGGCCACTATTATAAACCTCAGGGAAACACGGAAGATGATACACATGTTTACCCACAGCATACTTCAACAAATATTCATACAGGAGGTGGTTATGCATGTTTCATCCACTACAATAAGCGTTTTGCGTTTCTTTTTCTCTCTCTAAAAGAATCTGGCTGTAGTTGGCGCAAGCTAAAACACATCAGCTCCAATAACTCAGCCTCCACCATCCAACCAAAAAAAAAAAAAAAAAAAAAAAAAAAGCAACATAAAAGAAAATCACTTTCCAAACAAGCAAAAAACCCGCAGTGTTATAAAAAGCATCACTTTATCACTCACCCATGAAAAGTCCAGGTACGAAAAGCGGTGAAAACTACCAAAATAGGAGTATTTTTTTTTACAAACCTGCTGCTGGATATAAGGAGCTTTCATATTGTGCTACGGCTAACTCTGCTAAAGCTAACAGGCCAACAGCACAAATTACAGTTAGATGGACTCGACTGAGCCGCAACCACTAATTCAAGCCATACATGAGCAAAAGATCTTCATTCTTCCCCCTTTCATCCCCACGCTGCCATCGGATACATTGTTTCCACTGAGCTGGAAACAACCGTTGCGGCAACAATGTATCCAGCGAAGTTTAAAATGTTACAAAATAACAAAACGCGCGGAACGTTCGATTCACGCGCTGCACTTAGAAATACACCACTCAACTCCTAGAAATAAGCGGCAATTTTGCTCCAAAATCATCGGGATCCTGACTTCTCTACCTACCCGATCGAGACGGGGTTTGGATTTGGAAAAGCGGCGAAGAATCTACGAACGATTAAAGTCCAAAAACGAGGCGCATAAAAGTTGCAATAATAAAAAAAGATCCCAAGGTGCACTTACCCTCCTCTACTCACTTGAGCAGTAGTGCCTCTCTCTCTCCCCACAAATTATTTAAATAAATATTTACAAACAATCCGAGCTCTCAGTCCGATCCGATCGCTCACATAGCTGTCGCGGTCATCTGGGCTGAATTTAGCTAGGTTAACGACCTTATTTTTTGTTTGTTTAATTTTAATTTGTGTGTGTAAAAAAGAGAGAAACTGAGATACAAAACAAGAACTCTTCTTCAATCTCATTCACCACAGCCGCAGCACCCGAAGATTCATCCGCGCAGGAAGAGGGAGACGAAGGGGGCAGGAAAAGTAGCCGTCAAAAAGCACAAATACTTTAAACATCTATTCAAACGATTCAGAGACATCGCGATTACTGTAAAAGTGCACGTGCTTGGTGTAAAAGTGGACGTGAAGTTTCCTCGAAACGTGTTTGTGAAGAGGACTACTTTTTGTGACGGTGCGGCGAATTTATTTCACTTTGCCTAAGGAACAGCGGTAGTGCGTCTCCCATTGCCTAGGGAAAAACCCGGATGTAAACTCGGCGAAACTCATCTGGAGAAGAGAAGTGGCAGTCAACTCAGTCGAACTCGTGCATATACTCTCAAAGACAACACAATAAGTGTTTTATTAGTGTAATGTTTATAAATGCATATTACCATAAAGAAATACAGAGAGAGATGTTGAATTCAAAATATTATTCATTTTACAAAGTATAGGCTAACTGGTTAAATTATGTAAACAATATGGCCAATTTAAAAAGTGCTAGACTGTTATAAAACAAAAAGGGAAAAGTTGCTGCTTTACTTGTCTAGAAACATTATAGGCTATTTAATAACAACAGTTTTACATGCTCTAACAGACTTTCTGCCTTTACGTTTATACACAGCACAATGCCTACAGTAGCTATTGTTGAAAGTCATAAAATAATGGGGGGAAAAACTGAGTTGGAGCTAGAGAATTTCATGTATATGCACACACACATACACAATATATATATATATATATATATGCCAGATAAATTCCCTTGCACATGTGTTGATGATGTGACACTCTGTTTTTGTGATATTATTTAGAAAAACTCTGTCTGCCAAACCAGTCACTGCAACCTATTAACTATTATACGAAACAACATTGTTTGAAGGAATTTATATATTGGACACATTATTTTTTTAATTCAATGTATAGAACTACCCCAAATATAGCCTACTAACAATTGTATAGTATGTTTTGCACATTGCCATATTTTACTGTCACTTCGACCCAGTTCCAATTCTTCTTTATGAGCATTTATGTCAGTCCAAAACATATTTTCATACATGCAATGAACAGCCAATACAAAATTAAACTCGTTTCATTCTCATTACAACAGAAATCACAGGAGTAGCTAATCTATATTCAACTAAACGTTCCAGTACTACAGGTTTCACAGGATAAATAGTCAGCAAAAGAAGTGACTGCATCCCCCCATCCAGACCACCATGTCTGCCTGACACTTCACTCCCCCTACAGCCAAAGTAAATGCCTCTGTCACACACGGCTCAGTGTTTTACAGCGGTTCTTTGATCAAACCGAGCGCACGTGCACCGCCACCACGACGCTTTATGTCTGTTAAAGAGCGTCAGAAATACATTTACACAAAAATCTACGCAAACGAATATCTCCTACCATGTTATAAAAGAGATGGCCGCTCCGTTAACCAATGAAATTGTCAGGAGTTAACAGTTTTTTCTGGGCCGCCATGACATATTTTTGAGGCTGCTGCTCGGAATAGGCTTTTTTTGCAGATTTTTTTGCTGAATCGACACACCCGAGAATCAAAAGGATTTCGCTATGTGGCAGGTGTCTGTAAAATATATGAGGGGTAGAAATAGCTTCAAATGCTCAAATCGAGCTTTTATCTGAACTTAACTCTCAGTTTGAGGTTTTACACGCGTTTAAAACTATTGCACGCAAATCTCGCGAGAAATAAGCAAACATGTGTTGATTAGCTAAAGAGGATAAATCGAACGATGCTGTTTTTTTTAAGTAAACAAGGCATAGAAGGAAATATCCCTACCTAAAATGTACTTTTATATTAATTAAAAACATTGAAAATTAGCTTAAGAATATATTTAATATAACTGTATATAATTTTAAAAATAAATGCAATACAATAAATACAAATACACTAAAAATAAATACAAAATAAAAACGTTTAAAATGTGTCGAAAAAAACATGGTTTATATCTCTAAAATAAATAAACATACAAGAAAATAAATAATCATCCGTACATTTTAAATTAAACATAATAATAAAAATATCTAAAAACACTGTTCAAAAACAATATGAAATTAAAAAAAAAATCTAACAAATTTGAAAGACAGGTTGTTGCTTGGCCACAAAACTCTCCATCACTGATGATCAGAAAGATAAAATATTAAATAACCGGCTTATCGAATCATCATGACCCTTTTATTCTCCACTCTGTACTGTCATTTATTGCTGCCACCTTTCACTAGTCTCAAGACGCCCAATTTAATAATGTTCTCCTGCAAAGCTCTAAATGCCACCATGACTTTAACATCACATATAGACTCTAAAGCCTAAAATCAATCTTCAAAAGTATTTGGGAACTTCAGTCCACGGTAAGCAGCTTGACACATTTATAAGTTCCCCTCTATAAACTCCACAAAGAAAAGAAAATCACCAACTCATTAGTATTCTCATGTAATGTTTGACACAAAACAGCAGTGTAGGCTATTGTGTTTTCATCCATCATGGCTTTTTTTCTTTAAAACCTTCTACTGAACTGCTTTGCTACACCATTATTCAGTCTGTCACGTTTCTGCAGTCATTTATTCCACTTAAATATGGAGATGCTGTGAAATGAAGTCTACTTTACAGCCTGGCTTGAATGTTTTGGCACATTCATAATATGATGAATAGGATATATTGGCCTTTTCTGCCTGTGTAAAGCGTTTTGCCTGTAGTGAACAGTAGATGGAGCCATTGTACTGACTAAAACTCGACACTAGCGAAAGCTAAAAAAACTGCACTGAGTATGAGGAGAGCCTAAACTTGATCTGATCTGATCTGATCAAAGTGTTTTCTTGCTCTTCTTTTTTTCCAAAGACAGGGTGCTCCTGCTCCACTTCCTCATTTGTGGCGCATTTATACAGCCGGAAGAAATTGATGCTCTCGGATGGGGGAAAAGTACAGGTGACTATTGTAATGTAGGCCTACTCGATTCTTTTTTTAAACAGCACACTTACATACTTTTTGCACTCGTATAGTGTCGTAACCAGTGTCAAGGTTACGTGTAGGCTTCGTACACTGCAAAACGGTAGTGTAGGAGGATGGAGCTGTAGTATTCTTACCGTAGATCTGCCAGGTGTCCTAGAGTGACCAACGGGGGGCGCTATTGTGCAACAGTCAATCTCCATGTGACAGATATTGAGAAGTGCAATTTAACGATGCACTCAGTATTTTTTTTTTGTCTAAATAAACTATTTTAAACCTTAATAAATTAATAGCACCCCCCCCCCCCCCCCCCCCAAAAAAAAAAATATGGATGTATATTTTAAATGGAGAAAGTAGATAGCTCTCGGCCATGCAATCACGTGACCAGTTGAAAACTAAGCTACTAAAACTACTAAACAAAAACCGCAGTCTAATAAAACACATTCAGCATCAGTATGTCGACTGTGATACTGTGTCATTATCTAAAGCGATGTACTCTTATGGAAATCTATAGTCATATATATGGATATCTCTGCGAAAGCATTGATTTGTGACATTTCACGACTGTCAAAGGATGACTATCTTCATCATAATTGGGGCTTTTATAAAGATAACAGCTGCTTAAAGTATTGAAAGCCAGATATTTACTTTTGTAGGCTTACTTCAGAAAGGAAATTGTGGTAAAAAGCATATCTCAAGCAGTCTTTACATAGAAGTAACCTAACCTGCCTGAAACTTCACATTGATTTGGGCTGATCCAGCAGTAGGCCTAAGCGACACTTAACGTTTTCATCAAGTGTATGAAAGAAAAGAATAATAAAACGTATCATAATACATTGCCAACCAGTTGTATCATATCAAAATTGAGTCTGTATTTAAAGGCCTAAAACTAATCCGGCCTAAAATGGATTTGCAAACATTTGTTTCAGAGTTTGAATGACCTACTGATGTCTGTTTTGTGCCCATCTGTTGTTTCTGTGGTTTAATTGTAATGGACACACAATCAAACAGCTTTTCTCTTCCTCTCTCTCGCCTCTTGATGTTTTTGATGAATCTAAACAGGTCACAGTAATCAGCACACAATCAAAAGCATCAAATGACATTAGACCAGCCTTTCAGGCAAAATGAGATCCCAGAGTTCCTGCTTTGTAGTATAATTTTGTTGTATGTGACACAATAGCTTACATTGAGCAGAGCTCTGAGTCTGATAGATAGATAGATAGATAGATAGATAGATAGATAGATAGATAGATAGATAGATAGATAGATAGATAGATAGATAGATAGATAGATAGATATATAGATAGATAGATAGATAGATAGATAGATAGATAGATAGATAGATAGATAGATAGATAGATAGATAGATAGAAAGGAAAGTGTATCCTCAGGCATAATATGATCACAGTGAGTCATGTCAGTCACTTTCCATATGTCGTTTCGGAGCGGGTGTTCTGCTTGTGTGTGTAGGGAGGATGTTTTGTTAGAACAAAGGTTTTTCCAGCAACACCTGTTCTTCTACATCAAAACCTACGTCTCTAAATAACTTTGAATTCATCAGGCAGGATTGGGTTAGTGTCCTGGCTCAGCCAA